AAGAGTCTATCGCCTAGTTTCATTGGGTTTTGACGTGATTTAAAAACCAACGTACATGTGCTAATTTTGGTGTAAAAAGGATACAAGAGACCCACAGGACCACTTGCTATCTCAGCTAACACTACTCCATTTAAGAGGCTGTTGCACACTCCTTTTTTTAGCTAGCTAGCATGAAGGTAGTGGTATCGTGGATCTGGATAACCAAAGGTGTCTATTGGTACTGACCATGTCATGCTAGCCTGTTGAGAAGGGGGTTAAGGCTAAATTTTGGCCTAAATTTTGACTACCATTTTCACAGGGGTCCCTCGAACTCGCACCTCAAGATATCTGAATGAAAATGTGTTCTGCTGATTCCCACAAGTCTCCTCTTTACAAACACGCCCACTTTATGATAGTCCAATGCAGTTTTTGGCAAACATCATATAATATGAATGTGTTGTTTTCACCAATCTTTCAAATGGTGTATTTGAATATTTCTTCACATAGAGTCACTAAACAGTTTTGGAATTGCATAAATTGGGTTTAACTGGAAAGCGGAGACTCTTCTTGATTCAATGAGCCCAGATGTATTCATGCGTGATGACGTTAGCCCCCATAGTAGCCTTGTCATTGTCGTCAGACAGTTTTGGAAACTTAACCTTACAGTACAAAATGACCTATAGTAACCTCCAGGATAATCACAGCCTCGTGAAACTCCACAGCCACAAACTGGAGGCCTCAGGCATTCAGAGGGTTGCTGGTTTTTAGAGGTATATCCACTATAAAGGGGATTTCTCAGCAGTTTCCAGAACAGAAGTGCTCACCATGCCATTGCTGAAAATGCAGTTCTTGCAGAAATCTTCAAATGTCAACAGTTTTGATACCAAATCAAAAGATAATTTATCCGAGCTGTTCCTAAAGGTCTTTGTGTCAATTCTCAAGTGGTAAGCAAGGTCAAGTTTAGCACAAATGTTGTAAACAAATGGTATCAACCCAACAACTTGTTGGACATAGCAGTCATGGGAATAGACAGCGTATACTTCCATCATTATGTTCTGAGCCCCTACACACTCTGTACTTATAAAGTTTGAATACGTACCTAACCAAAACACAATGTTTACTACATATTTACAACTAGAAATACTTCTTCAGCTGCCACAAGAAAATGCTGGCATTGTACATTTTTGCAAACCCTGAATAAGTTAAATATCTATGTTTCACACATTTCATATCAACATTTCTAAAGAGATGAAAAGGGAAGATCACTGTTTGAGACAAGCAAACAACAAAACTGGTTGTTTTTATTGGTCCCACTGCTGCGTGTTTTTTACCGCAACACTGCTGTGTTTCTTACCGGGATTGTGCCGCCAAGAGCAGTTGTTTTTTTACCCAGACATCAGTGCCTTTCCACCGGGGATAGTGCCATAAAAAGTGGCTGTTTTTACAGAGACGTTGCGTTTCCTGCTGGCACTGTGCTACCAAAAGCGGTTAATTTTTACTGAGACATTGCTGCGTTTCTTGCTGGCACTGTGCCACATTGCTACATTTTCTGTTGGGTTGGTGCCATGAAAAGAGGATGTTTTTGACCAAGACATCGCTGCGTTTCTTGCAGGGATTCTGCCACGAAAAGCGATTGTTTTTCCTGAGACATCCCTGCATTTTCAACCGGGATTGCGCCATTAAAAGTGGTTGGTTTTTACAGAGACATCGCCACGTTTCCTGTTGGGTTACTGCCACCAAGAGCAGTTATTTTCCACTGAGACACTGCTGCGTTTCCTGCCTGGATAGTGCCCCAAAATCCGGGTATTTTAAGCCCAAACCTGACCTTTTCCTAACCAAAACCAAGTTGTTTTTTGTGCCAAACCTAACCATACGTGCCCACAGCGTTGCTGACACAAAGAAACCTGAAGTCGAAGCTTATCTGCTACAAGATAACATCCAAACGTAACGTACCCAAGGTTTGCAGGAACATACAATGCCAACATTTACTCTGGGCTGACGTGACACTATCTGCATCTCAAATTAGTCATCTTGATGTGTGCCACTTGTGTGTGGACAAAAATAGTTGTGTGGTGTCTCAGAGGGTTACGACCACCAGGAAAGAGCAAAAAATGACGCGGCCTCATCATCTGCTGAACACAATCAGTACAACCTTTTTGTGGAAATGAGTAAGTAGCTAATTATTTGCTCTGAGTGTTTGTTGCGCGTCACTCTGCAGTCACAGCTCTCCTCTGTGTGTCAATTCCTACCAGTGACTTCATCTGTGTTTTTTCTCAAGGATATCCCTCTCCTTTCGAGGCACAATGAGGCAGCTTCCTGTTTAGAGAAAAGGACCAGTCCGGCTGTCCTCACCCTCCCTCACCTTATGTAATTTCCCCGTCGCCCTGCCAGTATCCCAGCTGTGTCACGGGAGTGGAAATGTACATTTTCTCTTCCCAGTTTCATGGAAATTAATTTGGAAATTTCTGTTTCATTTTGGTGGAAATATGACAGCAAATCCTCACATTTGAAACATCTGGAGTCAGAGCGTGTTAAATAACAAATGATTAATGATAATAGTCACTGTGATCGTCTAATCAATGAATCATTTCAAGAGCTGCCCATGAAAGTGGTTATCTGAGGCCTGCAGGTGAAGAAATAATGGACTCAGTGATAAGACTGTTGCAGCGATCAGGCTCTTCATCTCCAGCTGTGTTTGCTAATGTGAGTGAATTTAGGTGTAATGAGATATTAAGAGTGATTAAGAGTCATTACATTAGTAATCTTAATTTGTTTGGCACTTTTACAACACAAGAAGGAAGTCAGATAAATCCAGAGTAGTGAGAGCACGTCAAAGGCCCTGTCCAATCTAATCTTTTTTCCATACCACGTGTTTTAAACAATACAATCTCCATTAATCAAACATTTGATAGTATTGGAAGTACATAAGCTATGAAAACACCCAGTCACCAGCAGCAACCAAGAAGTTCGGTACGCTTTTTTTCTGTTTCCACTGTGAAAGGTTGTGGATGGCACCAATGGAAGCATTCCTTAGCGTCCCCATGTTTGGTCCCCCCTCTGTTGGGGTACCTAGCACACAGATCTGGTACTAAAAGGTGGAACTGTGAACACTGCAGTCTGATTGGTCAGTAGAGGACGGTCACTCTGCTCAGGGCTGAGTTGTGTCTGGTTTTGAGGCTCATGTAACCACTGTTCATACTGTGGAGAGTTTTATTAGTAAACTGTAACTATAAAATGAAAGGATGTTTTGCTGCCTCTCACAGCAGCTGGAGTCTGAGAAAAAATAACTTCATTCACTGGGCCGACTGCCGGCAACTTTTAAGGTGGAACGTTAACTTGTGATGTTACTCAATGCATGAGTTGATGACGTGAATCCATCAGCACACCTTAAATTTCACTGTGACAACTTTGACCATCACTTCAGTTTTTATATGACACACACTTTTAGTAATGAGTGGATCTTCAAGAGTTTATATATATATTAATTTCGACTGATGTGAACTGCATATATTCTAATCCTCACTCGGAGAAAAAAAAAGTGTCGTGGAGCGTCGTTCCTGTGGGCTGCAGCAACACTAAACCCCTGAGCTTGCCTGAGAAGGACTAAATGCACAAAGCTGCTATTTTTAAATATCCCATGGAGAGAGACTCTCACTGCAGCCTGTTCTCTTTTGTTCTGAAAATGTGGGCGTGCAGCCTCGTTCTGTGGACGATAAACCAGGTGCAGACTGATAAAGGAGGAAATACAGTGAGTGCTGGACGGAGCAGTGAGTGACAACAACCCCGCCCACATTTAAGAGGACTGTCTGTGGTGGAAACACTAGGATCTAGGTACCATGTCTGAAGGGTTACTGTTGGGTCCAAAGGTACTGTACTGAAAGTGTTTGGTGGAAATGGGGCTTATGTTTCTGCAAACCACGCACACGTCACATTTGCTTCAATCCTTACCTGTTATTTTAATTTTTTCTGGCTGGTGTTTTTTTCCTCTCATTTTGAGGTGGTCTGGTGTTGAAAAATAGAAAATCAATGAACTTAAGTCATAAAAAACAGAACTGTTTTGAAGTTTAAAATTCAGGTATTGTGACACAGTTTCTGTTTGACTATTTTAATCTGCTGCTCAAGTTTGAGACATTAATTTCCAGGCACAGCGCTGTGACATCACAACTATAGAAACCAGTTGTGGTTCAATATGTATCTCACACAAGACTGATGTGAAAACTTGAAGCCTGCAGTACATCCACCCACACACACCCACTCTTACACACTTACACACACAGAAAACTCCTTTTTCAGTGAAGACGGAGACATCTTGTGTCCAGCTGTTTTATGTGTTTTTTCATAAAGACTAGATTTTTCGGTGATGGAGAGGGAGCAGATGTAATTTTAAGTATTTCTGATGAGATAATTGAACTTTTTATCCACAAATTATTATTAAAAACCGAGTATTTGTATGTCTTGAAGCTTCTCTGGAGGGGAAACATTTCTATAAATGGCATGTGGGCCAAAAAAGTGATTTTTTTTTTTTCAAGTGTGAGCTAAAAGATAATTACAGATGACGCCTATCTGCAAGTTATTTTCTGAGATCTGCGGTTTCTGGCCTGCAGAACAGACCGAGCCGCACCTGCCTCACAAATTACAGTTTTTCCACGGACAAATTAACTTGTGGTTTTTGTAGTTTTGAGTTTACTTCAGAGTGTTTCTCTTTTACTCACTGTGGGAGACACACACACACACAAAGACAGATTTCTGCATAATCTGACAAACCTGAAGAGCAACATAGAGCATCAGTGGCATCAGTGACAGTAACCTGGGTGCACCTGAGGGCAAACTGCACTATGAGGTGAAAATCTCACTTTCTTCTTCTTCTTCTTCTTCTGTTGTCGCAGTGACAAACAGAAACATAATTTGTCACCGGGCTGTGATGCCTCCTGAGGGCAAATCAGAAAAAAAGGGGGTCAGGCGGAGGAGGGAGGAAAATCGTTGAAGGGCAAAAACATTAGAGACCAACCCACTACGTGTTGAGTCCTGCCCTGCGCGCTGTTCCCACATCACTCTCACATGTCGCTGTGATCGGCTGAGCCCGTCCTGTCCTCCTCTCCTCTCTCTGTGGGATCATTTCTGCTGCTGCTGAAGTCTCTCTGGATATTTACACGTCTCTACAGGTGCGTGGAAAAGTTTTTAAAAGTTGCTTTGTTACCATGTGGGCTGGATAAGATGCGCACAGGAGCGTGAAATGCGTCTGTGGAGCTCGGTGATACATTTGTAGTAACGTTACTGTGTGACAGTGGTCAGTTTAACTCCTGCAGTGTCTGTAATGTGGATAGCTTTGACCTTAGACATGTTCTTTTACTGTGTGCACGCCAGTTAAAACGTGGATATATATGTAAAGCATTTATTGACCTGCAGGCTCAGTCGAATTGTCTGTACGAGTTAAAGTTCCCGGTTTGGACATTTGAAAACATGCGTATCTATTCTGGTTATTATGATGCACAAATGCACGTAAGACATGATTTAGTTAGCAGTTGTTGTTCCCCAATATTAACCGGTACGCTCAGCTATGAAACAATAAGCTCTAATTGTCTGTACGAGATTAATGTGCCAGTTTGGATACTTGAAAATGCGTATTTACGCATATACGTGCGTATTTGTTCTGATCATGATGACATATAATACATATAAGATACAAGTAAGTTTCTGTTTTTGTGTCTCTAATATTAACCACTAAACTGAGTCATTAACCAATACGCTCTAATTGTCTGCAGGGGTTAAATTTGCTGGGTTAAATACTTGAAACATGCGTATTTACGCATATACGTGCGTGTCTATTCTGGTTATTAATACATATAAAACAAGAGTTAGTTTGCATTAGTTGTGTCCCTAATATTAAGCAGTGAGCTCAGCTGTTAACCAATAAGCTGTAATTGTCCGTTAAGAGTTAAGCTTGCTGGTTTGGATGCTTGGAAACGTGCGTTTTTACGCATGTACGTGCGTATTTATTCTGATTAGGATGACACACCATGTATAAATACACATAAGATACGAGTAAGTTTATATTGGTTGTGTCCCTAACATTAGCCAATAAGCTCTAATTGTCTGTACGAGTAAAATGTGCCGGTGACAAAACTTAAATCCATGCGTATTTGCGCATATGTGCGTATTTATTATGGTATTAAGGCACAAATATTTGCAAGATGGTTATATTCGTTGTGTCCTTAATGCTGTGTGAAAACGTGGGTTTAATTTTTTACTGGCAGGAAAAAACTGCCACTAAGAGTCAAAGAAAACATTCAATAAAAACTTTGCTTCAGATTTTAAAGTTTTTCCGTTTTTCCTCCCATTGTGAACTCTTTATGTCCTTGGAGTTATTATTACTGTAAGCGGCCCGTACCGGAGGCTTTCCCCCTCATTAATAACGCAGATATGATCTCTATTATGTGTAATCATCTGTATGTATTCTGGGGATTAATTGGAGCGGGTTTCTAAATTAATTCCATACTCTTTTCCTGTCGTTGATTCTGTTTATTTTTCGTCATCAGTACTAACCTTCCTCTCCTCTTGTTTGATGCAGGCTGGCTCTCATCGCCTCCTAGTGTGCAGCCCGGGCATTGAAACAATGTGATTTTTGGGGGGGTGGAAAAGACTCCAACCACAGGAAATCCTATTTGATAGCATCAAAAGAAACAGCAGCTGACTGCCTCTGTCTTCTCAAGTTTTCAATACAGAGAAAGAATGCACAGTCTGAGGACTTTATGACACTTTGTCTGTGGATCTAATCTTTAAATCAAACAATAGAAAGAAAAGAAAACCCCAAATATGGCCACAGAGTCTTTTCATGCTGCCTATGCTGCTGTAGCTCCGTCCACCATCCCCATGACCCCCTCCACAAGGAACCTGCTGAGGATGTTTCGTGAGTACCAGAGTAACGCTGTGATCTTGCAGCACTACAACTTCACAGGCAAACTGCAGGAGAACAAGTACAAAGAAGGACTCAAACCAGAGGCCATCGCCTTTCTGCTGGTGTGCGTGCTCATAGTCGTAGAAAACGCCGTGGTCCTTCTGGCGATCTGGAAGAACAAGAAGTTCCACCTGCCCATGTACTACCTCCTGGGCAACCTGACTCTCTCCGACCTGCTCGCAGGCTTCACCTACATGGTGAACATCATAACATCCGGCGCCAACACTTTAAGCATGACCCCGGTGCTGTGGTTCCTGAGGGAGGGGGGCGTGTTCATCATGCTGGCCGCCTCCGTCATCAGCCTGCTGGCCATCGCCATAGAGCGTCACGTTACCATGGTGAGGATGAAGCCGTACCAGGGGGACAAACAGGGGCGGATGTTCGCTCTGATCGGCGCCAGCTGGGTGCTGTCGGTGTTCCTGGGTGTCCTGCCGGTCCTGGGCTGGAACTGTATGGGCCAGCTGGACCAGTGCTCCACGGTCCTGCCGCTGTACGCCAAGAGCTACATCCTCTTCTGCATCACCATCTTCAGCGCCATCCTCATGTCCATCGTGGTGCTGTATGTCCGCATCTTCCGCATCGTCAAGTCCAACACCCAGCGCCTTGCTTCAGTTCCGCAGCGCAAAGGCCTCTACAGGAAGTCCCAGAAGTACATGGCCCTGCTGAAGACGGTCACCATCGTCCTGGGAGTCTTCATCATGTGCTGGCTGCCGCTCTTCATCCTCCTCCTGCTGGACTTCTGCTGTCCGGCCAAACAGTGTGGCGTGCTCTTTAAGGCGGACTATTTCCTGGGCATCGCCATGTTCAACTCCCTCCTCAACCCCATCATCTACACGCTGACCAGCAAGGACATGAGGAAGGCCATCCTCCGGCTGCTCTGCCGACACTGCCTCCTGACTAAGGATGGGCAGGTGAAGAAGATCGGCATGCCCTTCCTGGAGTGCAGCACCAGCAAGGCGGACGCAGCCTCTCACAGACTGGAGGGACTGGAGACGACCGTGTCCTCCGGTAACTTTACACCCTCTCCCATCAAAGCCATTTACCCCAGGATGTCTAAAACATGACCACTTAACTGAGAGCAAGGACTCGGACAAAAGACTTGGCTGCTTGTCTCTAATCTGAGCTGCACCTGAGCTCCAGGCGAGTTAACAGTGCATGACAGGAGCTGAAGGTTTGTGTTGCACTCTGCCAGGCGTGAACGGAATAAACCGGATGTGTGTTAGAGACGTTTAAATTGGGAGAAAGACATTAACCTTGAGAGTTTTCTAATCACAAAAAGCAGAAATGTCAGAGCCTCAAAAGTAGGCGTCAGTTTCCTGTGGAAAAAAAAAACAGCGTTACATTTATTTCTAAGACACTGAGAACATGGCCAGTATGAAAAAATATCATTTCATTCTATCAGTTTTCCACATGAAATGAAATCAAAGACTGTGCAGACATGAATGCAGCTAATTACGCTGTACATCTGATAAACTGGGCCCGAAGCCCGAGCATGAGGGTTTGTCCTTATCTCCTCTCCTTGTGTAGCACATAATGACATGTTGTTACAAACACGGAGCATCCACACCCAAAACCTGCTGCCAAACCCTTGTAATTTCTGCCATGTGAGTTTTGGTCAGCAGCAGTGCAGGGTAGAGGTCCCCTCGGCCGAGATCAGAGGCTCAGTGGCCTGGAGACGCACTGAGGACGTCATACGGAGGGCTGCGCAGAGCGGTTTGCAGCTCTGGAGGTCCCCTCACAACACATGTAGCGACACATGATGAATGACTTAAAGCAATAAAGCAGACAGTGGAGGTTTGTTGACGCCTGACGGAGAATATCACAGTGATGTGCTGTAGGTCCTGCACAAACATTTTAAGTGGAAACAGACAACTTTTAAACTTTTCCCCCCTCATATTTCAAAGTGGTATTAATTTCAGTTTCAATGTGCTTTATTGGCGCCAATGTCAGGTGAACAATACTGCCACAGTGTCCAGGATAACATTATCGTTGGCGCAGCTGTTGCAAAAACAACAGGATTGCTTTTCGTTTCTCCTCAGAGCCTACCATCTACCAAAGAGCTTCCATGGTTATTTCTGTGGTTCCCATGGATGTATAAAGAGAACTGGAGAACTGTCGCTCCAGTGTCTGATTTCGTGACATTTAACACAACAGCATCGGCCTCTAGTGAGACATACAACATACACATTAACAGTGCTTTCTAAATAATAATAATAATAATAATAATAATAATAATAACAATAACAATAATAATAATAATAGTATTAACATGTAGGTATGGAGCTCCCAGATGTCATTGTTTTCCCAAATTGGGGACATTTTTGGCAGCTGTTAATCTTTCAGTTAGCTGCTAACTGCTAACAGCTCCTTTAAAACTCCTGCAATGGGTAGCACACATAACATGTCGTCAAAAGTCACATCTGTGCCGCCCATGATCCCATCAGACATCAATTCGGCTCTGTAACCACCTTCGATACTAGCGAGACAACTCTGTCCCCCTATTCCGCGATTGTACCTTTCATACAGAACGACAACGCGGCACAGCGGTGTGAAATTCTCGCCTTGAAGAGGCAGTGTAAAAAAGGCTTCTGAAAGTTACTCAGTGGTGCCGGAAGCCAAAAAAGTTTGACTATTCGGATCTTCCATATCACTGGGCCCATAGAGTAAACGCACCTGAGACTTCCACGGACTGAGCTAGCTACTTCCCCTTTAGCGCTTTCAGGGTTCCTATGGCTTGAGGCAAAACTTTGAGACTTTTTTAATGAATTAAATTTAAGACCAATTTTTTACAATGACCTAAAGTGAAGAAAAAAAAACGAAGTGAAATTAGTTATGAAGGGTGAGAAACATTTTTATATAAAACGTTTAGTGTGACATAAAACATTACCTTTGGGGAAACACCTTCCATTTCTTGGCGATTCTGTGTTTCTCACTCTACATGTGGGACTCTTGAGTAATTTACGCACGTGGAGCCAAGAAAGTTCAACTTCCATGTTGCATTTTTAAGACTATTGAAAGATTGATTTAAGATGTTTTAATACCAATCAAAGCCTTTTTGTTAGATTAGTGAATCTGCAGGAACCCTGCTTCCGCTGACTTGAATGTGGCTAAATGATTTAATCGTGTGGCTCATCTAGACTTAAGAAATGTTATCAGACTGAATGGATCAAACCCTGATCATGAAACGAGTCATTTCACCGGGGTTGTGACTCTCAGAAATACGTACCCACTGATTTACAGGCATCTCTTTCACAATGTAGGTCAATGGGAAAGTCTTTTGGGCCCATGGCATCATGGGACAGACCCACAGGTTGTAACTCCACAGTTTGGCCACTATGTCAAATTGGCTTCAAAGCCCGGTGCTGTTTCTGGGGTTTGGTTGCGCCACTGTCCACCATTTCCTCTCCAGGGGATAGTGACTGCAGAGAGCTTATATTAATACTCTTGGTAACTTGGGAAAGCTGCTGGGAAAAACAAATGTTTTGTCCTCCTCCTGTTTTGGTTGCACGATGGTTGACGCACTTCCTTTGTGCCGTCACTCGAGCCCTCAGATCGAATCCGGTGGCACACAGAAAGTGAATGCGAAGCTTATAGGGGATCAGCCTAAACACAGATGGTGTCATTATTCTACAGCCGTTATGTGTGCAATCAACATTTAATTCATAAGTTAAAGCAAAAAAAATCTCTTTCTAGTTGGAGAAAGTTTCCCATGAAATGATATGAATCTGTTTTTCTAGTGAAAGAGCTCAGATATCATCGTGTCCCACACAACAGCAACCTGTCAAAGCCCCAGACATCAGACTGTGTGGGCTTCAAAGACCTGGGGAATTTCACTGTGGTTATAGTGACATAAAATGTAAAAAATGCCAACTGTAATATTGTACATAAATGTAAAAAGAAAAATAATCTATTACTGATTTGTTTTGTATACGGTGTAAATATCTATAGTCTTCTCTGAGCTGCATTTTGTATTTGTAAAAACCTCACTTAAGTTATGATGTCACTTTTTATAAGTGCACTGAATAAAAACATGTGAATGAAGTTTAAATGGAGGTTTGTATGAATTATTAACTCCTGAGAGACGCCTCAGCTGGCTTTGTTTCAATGGTTAATGTCTGAAAGTTTCAGATCTCTCACTCATCGACATCCCTCACGTTTCTTAGCGCTAAACGAAACTTAAATAAATGACGAAACACTCTCCGTTAGGATCAAACATACGAAGCACAGTTTGATAAACTACAGGAAAAAAAAAAATCTAAATATTATAAATGACATTGAAACAGATTAACTATGAAAATTATAAATCTATTTCACATTAAAATAAAGAAGTATTTTCTGTGATTTTATTCCATATCAATATTATCTAATGAAGTCTATTATTTTCTATCTATCTTATATTTTCTATAATTTTTTTATTATTTGGTTTACTAATACATATTTACTATGTGAATAAACACTCAGTGAGCAGAACAATATGGAGGATGAAGAATGACCTAAGCATCAATGAATAAATAAATAAATAAATAAATAAATAAATAAGGACTAATAATAAATAAACAAACAAATAAATAAATATCAGAATAATTAAATAAATATAGAAATAAATTAATAAATTAAATAAAAGCATGAATAAATACATATGAATAAATACAGGACTAAAAAAATACATTTGTAGATTAAAAAAAATAATGAATACAGGACTAAAAAAAATCCTGTATAAACCTGAATAAACTACAGCCATTTTTTGTTTATTTGTTCATTTAAATGTATTATTAATCAATAATATAGTAATATATTATAGTATATAGTAACATTTTTATCATTTATTGTTGTAATATCTAGAAATATTGATAAACAATATGTAAATACATTTTTAAAAAATAAATGTATGCATAAATAAATAAAAATAATAATAAAATAAATATATAACAATAATAAATATGTCAATAAATAAATAAACAAATAAATACATGAATAAATAAATCTGAAAATAAATGCATAAAAATAACTTTATGTAAAGAAATAAACAAATAAATATGGCAATATATAAAAAAGGCATAAAGAAATAATTATGTAAATAAATAATTATGTAAATAAACAAAATGCTTAATAAATATGGTAATAGGTGAATGCATAAATACATATGTAAATAAATAAATGGACAAATAAATAAATATGAAATATATAAAAATGTATATATAAACAAATAAGTGTATAAATAAAGAAATAAATACAAAATTATATGAAATAATAAATTAATGAATAAATGTTGAAATAAATAGATAAATGCATAAACAATTCATTATTTATTGCTGTAATTCTTTATTCGTATGTTAATGAGGTAGCAGGTCCTTAACTCTGCATTTCTTTATTATTGCATTTATTTATTTACGTGTTCTTTTTCAGCATTTTTTTTTTTTACTTATTTCTGTAGATATTTATTTATTTATTTTTTGATATTTGTGCCATTTTTCTGTCCTCTATAATTAATTCAATACCATGGTAACTTCTGAGGATGTAGTTAAGAGTGATGCTCATAATCAAACACCACAGTTTACCAAGGCCTGTCTTAAGTTGCACCATAATACATCACGAGTTAGTTGATGTTCAGTTACACTAGTCGGAAGTATTATGTGCTGCGTTACTGTGCCGAATATTAATATGCAACCGTACAAACTTTTTTCAAACACTAGTGACTTGAAGAAGACAGAGTTGTGAGGGGAAAGTCACACAGATAGGGTCTCAGCCATGACTAACAACACCCCTCCTCCATACAAACCACCTGTTAACCACTTGTTAAGAGATGTGATGTGTGTGGCTGAGGAACAGATGAAGCTGCAGAAACAAGCTGCTGTGAGCGAGCTGAAGCTCTGTTTACCGTAAGGAAACCACATATCAATGTGTGGGTCTCTAAACTTATTGTACGTGTCAGATTGAGCCTCCCTGACAGCGTATGTCATCCTGCCCACTCTTAACCACTCGCCACGCTGCATTGGTAAACAGCCGTGGCACTGCGTCCTTTTCAAAGAAGGAGGAAGTTTCACTTCTCAGCAAAGCAGGTCTCTGGGTAAATAATAATACACACACACACACACACACACATGCTGTGCACTGCAGAAACACTACGTGGGCACTACTCTGCTGCCTGGAGAGAAGGTTTCAGCAGCTTCTTCTCATCACTGATGTTTTATTATGACACTGGTGCCTGAATTTAACAAATCAGAGATGAATTTGTTTCATACCGTACAGTTACATTTAAAGACGCCTGTCGTTTTTTCTCAGGGCGTAGCACCTACCAACGAGGTAGAGTTTCCGTGGTTATTTCAGTTGCTCCCATGGATGTATAAAGAGAACAGGATATGGCGTCAGAGGCAGAGTTCATTACTATAGACCTAATAAGACAGAGATTACGCTCTAGGGCCGCTACAAAGTCCCTTCATTACACCACCTTTGCATTTTTGCCTTTAGTGTGACATATAACATATATGTCAGCAGCATTTTCTAAACAATAACATGGTAGTAACAATCATTTATTGTCCATGTTATATGCTGCCTGATCTCGTCCTCAGTTCAGAGGGCAAGAAACTCCTGGACCTCATTGTTTCCCCAATTTGCGTTTTTATCCGCTGTTCTTCTTCTTTGAGGTAGCTGCTAACTGCTAACAGCTACTTTTAAATCTACTGTGGCGGGTCACATACTTAACATCTTGTCAAAACATCACACCTGTGCCGCCCATGATCCCATCCCGTGGCTGTCACATTTATACAGATATCATTTTGGCGCTGGTACTACTTCCGATGCCGCCTTAAAAGGCGAGACAACTCTGTCCCTCCATTCCAGGACTGCACCTTTTCTAAAGAGCAACGAGGCAGCATAACGGCATGAAATTCCCGCCTTTAAGAGGCAGTGTAAAAAAGGCGTTTGAAAGTTGAAGCCAAAAAAGTTCAACTTCTGTGGGTCTATACAGCAAACGTAACACGGACTGAGCTAGCTACTTACGGATAGCATTCTCAGGGTTCCTACGACTTAAGGCAAGTTAGATGCAAAAATTTTAAAGACCTTTTTATGCCTCTCGTAATGAAATTTAAGACCAATTTTACAATAATCAAAACTGAAGGAAAATAAAACAAAACATGAAAGGCCGTTATGTAGGGCAAGCAAAACTTTTATATAAAATGGTTATTGTAACATAAAACATTACTTTTTTTGGGAAATGCCTACTGTTTGTTGGCGATTTTGTGTCTCACTCTGCATGTGCATTTTCAGACACTGTTCTTCTTCTGTGAGTTAGTCGCTAACTGCTAACAACTAACATCGAACAGCTACTTTTTAAATCTCACACTGTGGGTCGCACACATTACACATCATCAAATCGTCACACCTGTGCTGCCCACGGTCCTGTCCTGTTCTTGCTGGACAAGGAAGTACTACAAAGCGCAGCGACTTTCCATGGAGTGCTGCCCACTTGCTTTTGGCGCTCATGTTAACTGATTTGACTATTCACACTGGACATGGCGCGGAACAGAGCGTCCAAGCCGGCTCATGATCTGCAGCAATAGTTCCAGCATTTGGCCTATTTTTTCCGTGAGAGAATCTGGCAAGAAAACACACTGAAAACGTACTGTAGACGATATTAAGTTTTATTTAATGTGAAATAAATGATCTGACAATGATAAATGACAGAGTATGCATCCCATGCTTCCACATATTTGTCAGTTACGCCTAAACAAAGAGCGAGAGAAGAGCAGAGCCACACACACAAGCAGACAATTAACAATTCGGGGTGCTTCCACATCCTGTGTGAACCCGCTGTTATACAGACATAGTTTTGGTGCTGTTACTACCTCCTGTAGTGCCATAAAGACAAGACTCTGCCCCCCCACCCCACCCCCCCACCTCTACGATCGTACCTTACATACGGCACAGTGAGGCGACATAATGGCGAGATATTCCCTGCTTGAACAGGCAGTGTGTGCAAGGAGCTCAATCCACAGTGATGAGGCCTACGTAACACTCATATTACACTATAGTTTCCACTATTTTCACTTTCTATTGTGATGTGTGTATCAGCGTGTTTTTACTGTTCTTGTGCAATAAAGTCAGTCAGTCAGTCTATCTATCTATCTATCTATCTATCTATCTATCTATCTATCTATCTATCTATCTATCTATCTATCTATCTATCTATCTATCTATCTATCTATCTATCTATAATGAAACAGAGACAGTGCAGCATTTGATCAGACCCACACAGTCGAGCAGCAGCCTCTGCTGTGTTTCACTAACGCCTCTGACACAAACCACACACAGAACTGCAGCACAGCGAAATACTAGAACCCGTAGTTATGATAGTAACAGCAATTTGTTGAGTTTATTTATTGTTATATGATATATTACATTTGCTCATGATTATCTTGGACAGTGTTGCGTGGCTGCCTTTCGTAGTGAGCTGAAAGATTCTTTTTCTTTAATATTTTTTTATTCATCAGTATGTTGAGAGGGCTGGGGGATGTTTGGAGCATATTTTGAATAATGCCAAACAAAATCTAAGTGTTAACCTTTTATCAACAATGCTGCTTTCTACTGCTGCTCTGCATGACCTGTGAATTTTATCCTTTTATTGGTTCAAAACATCTTGCCAAATGACTGCAGTTGAAAATCAGCCAGCTGGCTGACACTGGCACATTTACAGACATGTTGATTAATGGGTGTTGTCCTTATAAATAAAATAAATGAATATTATTTTTCAAAACAATAAAATGTCCTATACTACTATATAACTATATATCCACGTTTGTGCTAGGAGGGAAAATAAACTACAGCCATTTTTTGTGTTTATTTGTTCATTTAAATGTTATTTATTTTAAATATTTTATCATTTATCGTTGTAATATCACTCGTTATTTTTTCTGTGCTGTTTTACTGCTGCTCTGTGAAGCACTTTGGGCTGCACAAGTGTATGAAAGGTGCTATATAAATAAAGTTTGATTTGAAACACAAATCAGTGTGGCGCAGGATCTAAAGTGTAATAATTTACATTAATCAGTGAGCTGCTCGTCAATCTGAGCCAGCTGACACTACATGTGGAAACTGACAGTACAAACTAGTTAGCAAGCAGGTGGAGAGGTTGAAACAGTACTGTAAAAGTAATGAACAAATGATTGAAACACAGTTAAAGTTTCTTAAATGAGGGTATGAGTACCCCTAGAGGTACTCTGGAGTACTGCAGAGGGTATGTGAAGTCTTATTTTTTATTTCAAAAATATCAGTCATGTATAATTCCTAAAATAAGTTTAATTAAAAAATGTAAATCTAAGCTCAGTAAAGCACATTTTATATTCAATATTCCTATTTTCAGTGCAATCGTTAACTGCTGCAAAAAACAGTCACATTGTTCACTGTGTGTTTCTATCAAAAGTATCAAAGAAAACAGTCTGAGAACCACTGGTGTAAAAATGAAGCATACCAGTATCCGTAAAGTGAAACCGATACGTATAGAGCAGTGGTTCCCAACTGTTTGGTTATGGGCTCATTCTGAATGCACCGCAAGTGACTCGCAAACATGTCAAGATTGTAAAAAACACACTGTATTTCTCAAGTGAAGCAAATTTCCAGTACAGAGCTTTTATTTTGAAGTGCCATTTCCTGCTGTAGAGTGAGTGACAAATGGACAGCTACTTGTCAGAGACAGCTAACCGGTTCTGAACTGAATATATTAAATTGTGTGGACCTTGAACTAATGACTGAGGAGAACCACTGGTAGAGAGTAGCTCGTTCAAAACCCATCTTATTATTGGAAGCATTCAGCTGTGTACAAAGCAACCACCAGTACTCCCTGTCCATATTATCTTTACACAAATAGATTTTTAAATGTTAAAATTATTAAGACCATATTATGTAGAATAGAATAAACAGAATAACGTGTTGAATTTCACCACAGACAGACGTGACCAAACACAGTGGGCAGATATTTCTTGTATAGTTTATATAGTGAAGTAACCTGTTAACAGCCAACTGTTTCATCGTGGCTGAGACTAAGCTCTGCGGTATGAGCCTCCCACTCAAGTTAACGTTAGCTACCCATGAGTAGAAACTGTCACCAGCATCATTTACATATTCACCACACTGACAGTAAATATTCACGTGTCTTAAGTGTCTCAAATCTCAGAGTAGAAAGTTAGGTTAACATTCTATGTGACATTTTTCTCTTTCCCCCAAAAGGCGGCGTGACCTTGGCAATGACGCAACACTGGTCCAGACTGTGAACATCATGTGATACTGGAGACGTTTCAACAGTCACGGTGCAGCACTAGATTATAAATCAGTGACACTAGGAACATATTCTGTGTAACATTCAACATGTGTTGGGATTTTCATGAACATTTTTTAAACAACAGCCAAAGCAAATGTATACTTAAGACTTTTCTAAAACATTCTGTCAATTCCAAACCATTTCTAGCTTTTCTATTATCATAACATTTCCAGGACTTTCATGATCTTGGGTGGAGGTTCATCAGACAAAACAAAGTTGGGAACCACAGGCCTAAACTATAGTGAAACTAGTCTGACTAATCCACACGCATACAGGCCTCTAATAAAGCTTTCGACAGTGTCTCACAGTTTTCATAAGCTAATGGATTCTGCTCATTTTGTAACCAAAATATGAAACTATAACAAAAACTCTGCTTTTAAAAACAGCTCATCTCTTTGCAATGTCTCATCTGAGTTTGTGTGATTAAAAGGAAACCATGTGGGCATATTAAAAACAGCTCTGCAGCGCCGTCTAGTGGCCGCTCTGCAGATGAGTCTGTGTTGCTGAGATATAAATACAGAACTACGAAAGGAATAAGGTCTGACATATTTAATCATAAAACAGTGTAAATGTTGTAAAGAACAGAAGAAGACAAACAAATATAAAGACAAACAAAAACAATGTGCACATTTCTGACACCACCACCGCCCTCCATCTACCACTCAGTGCTGACAAAGCCCCACAGCTGGTCGCTTACATCATTCCGAGAACGCAGCGAGGTGTCGATGTTGATGGGCGTCGCCAGGTCGGCACCGTAGTGCACTGCGAGAGGAGAAAAGAGACGGACAACCTGAAGCAAAATTAACAGACACACACAAGACATAAAACAACAGAAGACAAAAACGTACCTCCTCTTAAGATGTTGGGCTGTGTGTCGTATTCCCACTTGATCTTGGAAATTACGTAGTACAGCTGAGCCACGTATCTGATGAGGGGAGAATAAAATCAGAAAATACATCAAACTAAGTGCAACTCCCAAATTTAACTACTGTTAATGTCAAGATTTTTATTTCCAAAAAGAAGGGTGCTCAATGTTTAACTTTGAGGACAAAACAAAGCTATATGTGTATCACATCTTCTACAGAAGCATTCAGCTGTTTTAGCAGCATGCAGAGAAACTGTCTCGCACGTTTTGCATCATCTGATCGGCTCTTATGATCAAACTCTTACAACCTATACACTGGCCTAAGTCCCACATTAACAAGGTGACAAAAACATAATTTTACAGCTCAGAAACATTGCTACAGTACGATTATTTATAAATGAAAAAAGATGCAGAGAAATTGATTCATGCCTTTATTTCAAGCCGACTTGACTACTGCAATGCCTCCCAAAAAACACCACACAGAGACTTCAGCTGATTGAAAACTCTGCAGCTCAGCTATGAACCAGAACCAAGAGGAGAGAGCACATCAGGCCAGTCTGAGCTGCTCTGCACTGACTTCCTGTTACATTTAGAATTGAGTTTAAGGTCCTCCTCCTTGTTTACAAAGCCCTACATGGGCTGGGACCGAGCTACATCGCTAACTCCCTTGTTAACTAGTTGCCTCCAAGAACACTGTGATCATCTGTTGCTGGTTTACTGGAGGATTCCAGCAACAGCCTGAAGAAGATCAGAGATGCAGCTTTTGTCAGTGACGCCTCAAAGCTATGGAACACACTACCTACAGATATCAGGGAAGCTAGCTCGCTAAATAGTTTTAAAAGAAAGCTAAAGACGTATCTGTTCACTTTGGCCTTTAACTCTCTCTGACTTTCCTCATGCAGGTCTGAAACTCCTCCCCTTTATGTTTCACGCTGCCACAGTTCTTTAAATATCTCACTTGATTTTATGATTTAGTTTTATAACCCTATGATTTTCTGTTTTATGTCCATTATGTCTATTTTCATATCTTCATAATCCTCGCTCCTTGGCCCCAACTCTGGCTGCTTGAAGTAGAGATAGTGAGGTAACTCTGTGTAGCAGCGGCGCACATCATTAAAGAGAAATTTCGGTTTATTTCAACCTGTCTCCTATCGTCCTAAATTTGTTTCAAGTGACTAGTGACATAAAAATAATAGTTAGCATGTTAGCCGTTAGCCTAGATACAGCCGGGGCGCATAGTAGCATCAGACCTGTTAAAACGTAAGTGAACGGGCAACCTTCAAGTGCAAAGTTAGTCCACTAAACAAGCTTTTTTTCCACAAAGACCACCTCATATAGTTAGGATAAATGTCAGAGAACATATAGAAAACGACATGTAAACGTGTTGTCTTACCTTACCGGTGTGCTGCCATGTTTGTTTACCATCTAGCTCTGCTTTCCAAAGCGCGGCCGAAATATATCTCGCGAGCTCTAGATAAAGCCCAGCTGGATACTACTCCAGGTGGAGGTGTCTCGTCCTCGGTCACATCCAGACCTTGAAAATAAGGCTGCAACCGGTCCCATTCCTTGCAACAGAGGCATTCCTCTTCTGTGGGCACTGGGGCACAGCATTCACAGCTACACCACCAATCTCCAGAGCTACGCAGCCTTGTAGCAGCCATTCCTCCTCTCTCGTCCTCTACTTGTTGCGCCTCTCTCTCTCTCCTCCTCCGTTCTTCAATTTCATGAAGCTCTTCGTCAGTGTACTCTGGCTCAAATAAATAAGGGCGGCCATCAAACTCTGCAAAATCAAATTCCTCCTCCACAAAGTCGAAGTCTGGCAAAAAGTCAGCCAATATTCTATAAATCTTTCATAAAATAAATGAATGAACTTTTCAGGCTACTGTCCGGTTCTGCCTTCCAGCTGTTGCTGCTTGTTCTCGCGAGATTTCAGGCACGGTATGAGATCGCTGCTTGTTCTCGCGATATTCGGCTAAATGGTAAACAAACATGACAGCACACCAGTAAGGTAAGACAACACGTTTACATGTCGTTTTCTATATGTTCTCTGACAATTATCCTAACGATATGAGGCGGTCTTTGTAGAAAAAAAGCTTGTTTAGTGGACTAACTTTGCACTTGAAGGTTGCCAGTTCACTTACGTTTTAACAGGTCTGACGCTACTATGCACCCCGGCTGTATCTAGGCTAACGGCTAATATGCTAACTACTATTTTTATGTCACTAGTCACTTGAAACAAATTTAGGACGATAGGAGACAGGTTGAAATAAACCGAAATTTCCCTTTAAGCAGCTGTGGTGACTGAAGGTAAGAACAGTAGTTGGATCAGTCTTTTGACAAGACACTTTCATGACTCTGTATCCGAGACTCACACTGCTGAGGGGATGACCTCAGTCGTGTCTTCTTCCACCTCGCTCTGAAGAGTCTCCAGCTCGTGTTCGGTGTTTCTCAGATTCTCCAACTCTCTCTGCAGAAATCTGGAGGAGGATTAAGGACGCTGACGAAGAAAAGGGCGAATAAAGCCGGACAGGATTCATAATGACACTAAAAAGAATCTCCTTCAACACAGACGTATAAAAAGATACTGTAGTTCTGAGTCAGTCATCTGGCTCTTGGCTGTGCACTGCCTCAGCTGCTCCTCCAGGCTCTCAAGCTCCTGCTCCCTTTGCTTCTTCTCCTCCTCCATGTCCAGCAGCCTTTGACCTGCACTCTCCTCAATCTGAGCCACATCTGGGGATGGAGGACAACGACAGAGAGATAAGACAGGAGTAAGAGATGAAGATCAGAGGGACCGGTCTGTCTGAATCACTGTCATTTGGAAAACTCTGTAGATGCATAAAGGATGTAATCTGGCTACATGTACTGACATTAGAGACACTATTCAGGACCACACACACAGAGAAACACTCAAATTCTTCTTTATTTAGCAGTGATAATGAACCTAGAGTTTGAAAACAGTGACAGCTGAAACACAATAGATCTTTAAATGTCTGATTACTCACCTTTTAAAATCTGTGTCACAATCTTTTTTGTTTCTACGTGTTGATCAAAAAGAGCCTGGTGTTCATCTCTCACTCGTCTCAGTATCTTCGGCTGGCTGCTGTTGATGAAGTCCACCAACACTTTCCCCGTCTCTTCCAGGTCCTGAAACTTATGACCTTGAGCCATTGTGGTGCAACTGGATGCTAAATAGGACATAAAAAAAGAGATTCAACCCAAAACACAGTATGTGCAGAGAGCACCTCGAGGCTTGTTAAGCTTCAAGTCATCAATAACAATAAACAACCAAATAATATATGGTAAAGTCTACAGTGGTAGAAGAAACATTCAGATATATTCAAAGTTATTTCAATAAAAGTAGTGGCAATACTAGAGTATAATAAAACTAAATTAATAGAATCTTTAGTTCAGGATAAATTAAGTTGAGCAAAAACTGACATATTTCCGTGTTGAAGTGAAGAGTTATGGAAGAAAACTGGGTCATCTCTGTGTCTCTTACATAAACTAACATTGAAAGAGATGCCACGCAGCTCAAATTGCATCAGTACAAAGGGATATGTCTTTAATGTTTTTGTTTTTAAATGCAATTTGGTAAAAATCCAAGTGGCCATGTCTAAATCCAAGAAAACTCTCTCGCCCATAAATTTAAAGGTGTAGGTTTCAAGGAGGCTGTAAACTGTAGGCGAGTGATTTCAACATAGTAACCCAGGGAAACATACGTTAATGAGAATGAAAAATGACACAAGTGTTAATGAATAAATAAATGTATAAATATATACATAAACAAATCAAGAGAAATGAATAAATACAGAAATAAAAAAACAAAAGAATAAATAAATCCTGAAACTAATAAATGAATGCATAAAGAAAAATACATGCGCAGGTTAAGATCACCTACCTCATTTACATACATGTAAAAAAGTACAGAAATAAATATAGTTGTACAAAAATATAGGAGAAAAATTTAAAGTTTATTTATAACCTGCTTATCAGTCAACTTTTTTTGCATTTACCTACTTATTTCCATCTCTTTTCAACATATATTCTTTTATTTATTCATTATTTATAGGGGTGTAAATCACCAGCTTCATCACGATATGACATTATATCGATTTGTTTGGATGACGATACGATGTTTGCCGATATCACAAAGTCTGTCACGATATAATTTTAATTCGATTCGATTCAGGAGCCTGTGATCAATATGACGCGATATCATATGCCCATCTAACACAATCATTTACATCAACTCACAAAAACATCTAGAATATGATTTGACCATTTTATTTCTGAGCTCTGTTTGTTGTTTGAGTGGAGCCGCACTTGCCCAGAAATGGTGACACAGACGTACTATGTGAATTTCAAAATAAATGTGTATCTTTAAGATGACGATATGGATCGATGTTTTCATTTTGCATCGATGTAATAGGATCGTTAATCAATGAATCGATGTATCAATGTGGATCGATGTATCGTTACACCTTATGCAATTATCTATTTATTTTTATTTCAGCATTTTTTATTCTTTTATATATTTACTTCCGTAGTTATTCCTGCACTTATTTATATACATATTTAGATTTGATTCCTGAATGTATTTATTGTTTTCATATTTATTTATTTATTTATTCCTGCATTTGTTTATTTATTTCTATATTTATTCTTGTATTCATTTTTTATTTCCATATTTATTTATTTATTTATTCATTCATTCCTGTATTCATCTTTTGATTTCCAAATTTATTTATTCCTGAAATTTTTATTTACTTTTATATTAAATTACTAAATGTCTAAATTAATACAGGAATAAATAAATAAATAATTTCCATATTTATTTATTCCTATATTAATTTTTTGATTACCAAATTTATTTATTCCTGTATTTTTTCTTTACTTTTATATTAAATTACTAAATGTCTAAATTAATACAGGAATTAATAAATTAATTAATAATTTCCACATTTATTTATTTATTTCTGTATTAATTTAGACATTTATTTATTTATTTACATATTTATTTCTTTATTCCTGTATTCATTTAGACATTTATTTATTTACTTTCATATTTATTTACTTATTCCACTATCTATTTATTTACTTTAATATTTATTTATTCCTGTATTTATTTAGACATTTAGTAATTTATTTCCAAATGTATTTCTTTATTCTTGTATTAATTTAGACATGTATTTATTTATTTACATATTTATTTCTTTATTCCTGTATTCATTTAGACATTTATTTATTTACTTTCATATTTATTTACTTATTCCAGTATCTATTTATTTACTTTAATATTTATTTATTCCTGTATTTATTTAGACATTTAGTAATTTTTTTCCATATTTATTTATTTATTTATTTATTCCTGTATTTATTTAGACATTTATTTATTCATTTAATCCCTGCAGTTAATAATATATACTTAAGTCATTTTCCATCCTCCATATGTATTCATCATCTGACCTACAGGGAAAAACATCGCTGAGAACATAAAACCATTTTAAGGGTCATATTGATGAGTCATATTAAGTGAATATTGAACAGGGAAACATACGTTACGTTCCCAGAACACCTGATTTACGTACCAGTAAACCACGAAACGGGACATAAGAAACATTACATTACTTTCCAACTCTAACCCCGCTGCTATTTTTAATCCACCAGTCATAAACAGACAGGTCGCCAACTCGCTGTGGTTTGTTTACCGTGTTTACAGCTGTAGCCGTTAGCTTCGCAGCTAGCTAAACTACGATAGAACGATACTGGCACACGGTAAAAGTCACAAACAAAACTGCTGACTCGATGACTAGCTGATAAAAACAACGTTCACGGCACAAATAAACACGTTTTCGTTAAAGTAAAGCAGAACAACTCACCGTGCAGCTTCTCTGTGTGATTCAAATTCAGACACTGAGCGCGCCTCTTCTTCTTCTTCTTCTTCTTCTACTACTTCTTCTTCTTCTTCTGTGGTCATTGGCGGATATGGAGCAGCCTCTGACGTGCTTACCGCCACCTACTGTACAGGAGTCACACTACGGTTCGTGTAGTAATACCACAAAGTACAGGAAAACTCCAACAAGACTTCTGTTCTCTTCACTTGTCTCCTGTTTCTATTGTTTTTCATCCACATTCAAATACTCTGTTATACTCTGTTTCATCTCGACAGCCCCCCACTCTCCCCACATTTCATTTGGGGCTCTATAATAGCTGTAAAAAGCTAAAGTTTGACCACTCTGGAGCCTGAACCTATCAAACTAAACTGTGATGACTGTGTGAACTGATGCTGCTCAGTGATCTCAAACAAAAGGAAAATCTGAAACACTGTATTTACTTAAAAAATAAAAGGTGTTTTAATGTGCTTTCAGTATGAGCAGTATGATAATGTGTAAATTAATCCAATGTCTGTGGAGTATTACCGTAAAACTTCTGTTAACAGCCCAGGATATTATTTGCTTGAACTCAACAGGCCTATATTTGGGAGAAGGCAGCAAATACAATCAAACTGTTTATTTAAACCAGTGTGAATATTACTTGCATAAAAATTAGGCTTCAAATAACACACAAATTATGTGCTACATTATGACACTCGCTTTACGGCACTCAAGGATCACACAAACCGACACACCACCACTTTATCCTGTTTAAACAAAACTCACAACTTGGATTAATTTTTATGAAAAACACCTTTGATTCTTTTCATCAGTGGACCCTTACAGATGAAAGGAATATGGATAACTTCAGGTAATCGAGGTGCAAACACATATTCTGACTCTATGACAGCTTCAGAAGAAGGGCGTCATGTTTCTTCGTCATGCTGGTAAATCTGAGCGAACTGTGGTCTTCTCTGGCGCTCATGGTTTCAGTAAAATGAATGACGTTTAATTTAAGTTCTACTGTAAATAAAACATTTGCAAGACAGTTTTTGGATGAACTTCCAGGTAGCAAATTGTAAAATGTTTAGTGATGCGTCAACACACAGGTCCAAGTGTTTAAAGTGTTTATTCAGTCATTAATATATCTCTGAAACTGAGATGATGTGCTGGGATTCACATCTACATGAGTGCCTCCATCTAGGCCACACATTATAAGCATACTAGTTAACCACCCTCACCGACCTGGTACAAACCACGTGGGAATAGTTTATTTATGGTTCACAAATATGCTTGAATCTGCTGTGGAAGAACACGGCGGACCAGTGTGCTCTCTGATGTCAGTTAAAATTGGAAATACTCGATAGAAAATGGACGCCTTAAGAGTAAGGAGTCTTTGTACTCTACATCAGGTTTAACCTGCATGTTTGTTAACGTGCGGACACACCAAACCGACATCAAAGAACTAGCGGCGACGAAAGCCAACTGTTGCGTCGTCTATGTCGCCTCACGTCGCCCTGTGTCAGTTGCATTTGAACACACGACACGGACTACATCCGACGGCCTATTAGCACATATGTTCTGCGCCTGCGTGAGAGAGAGCGGAGTGAGAGAGTGGTACATCCTGTCAGCCGAGGGGTTTCCTATCTGTGCAGCCGAGCACCACATCACCTCCACGGACTATTACATCCAGACGGTCCTGGTGTTTCCTCCGCAGGCTCCACTTCACTCAGCTGCCCAATAAACCCGCTGCTTCTTCTCACTTTAACCTGAATAACAAACCAGAGCTAGCTGGGAGCGGCTAGCAGAGCATTAGCCGCAGCATGACCGGAGGGAAGCACAGTCAGTTAGCCTCCGCTAGTCTCTGAGCTAGCCCCGGCTCTCCATTTGGATCCAACCGGAGCACCGAGCCCTGGTTTGTTATTAAGGCTTTGTGAAGTGGAGCCTGAGGAGGAAGCACCGGTTAGCCCTGGTTTCACTACAGGCAGATTCACTTGCTACAGGGGCGAGGAAATAAAACCTGAACAGCCAATCAGAGTGATCTCTCTCACTGACAAGCTCTGCCACCGATTCAGCATGCTCAATCGGCCGAAAAGCCGCCGACGCCGAGGTGCCGACGGTGCGGGACACACCGCAAAAACTAGGCCGACAGACGCTCACCGACAGCCCGACTTCGGTCGACGGCCGACTGTCGGCTTGGTGTGTCAGGGCCTTTACAGTTTCTATGAAATATAAACACAGTACAAATGTAGAAAGAGAAATGTTAATTTCACCAAATCCATTATCTAATTAATTGTATACTAAATTGTAGGTATAAACAAATTAACTCAAAATCTGTAGCCACCATTTTAAACACTATTTTTTTTCCCCAAATCAAACTGTAAATTTGAGGTCATAAAACAATGACTGTTTTTAAAATGTGTTTAATTTGTGGACCGTAGGAATCACAGGATCGTACATCGACAGTTAATCTGAGGTGTCGTCACTCTTTGTTCTTCAGCTTCTCTTTCTTCTCCCGTTCTTTTCGTCTCTGTCGGCCGAGCTGTCTGAAGAACAGTCTCTTGGGATTCAGGCCATACGCCTTCAGTCTCTGTCGACTGAACTCACGCCCGCCTATTTTCACCCCGCTGCTTCCTGATATGAGGCGTCCACCGGAGGACTTGTGCTTCTTCTTCGACCATTTGGGCCTCTCAGTCCTTTGGTCATCTTTACCTGCTGCTTCCACAGCGGTCACCTCTGTCTGCGGCTCCTCTTCCTGTGGCTCTTCTTCCTGTTTCATCTTCTTGTTCTTGGGTACCAGAATCTCCTCCTCCTCCTCCTCCTCCTCCTCCTCATCCACTGCCTCTCTGAGAGCCTGGGCGAGCGTGTCGTCTGCAGAGTCCATGATGGCGGGGGCGTCACCGTCCTCTGCTGCCTCTCGCTTCTCAGCGTCCTTCAGACGATCTCTTTTCTTCTTCCCCACCTTGGTCTTCGCCTCTGTCAGCTCTCTGTCCTCCCTGCAGATAAATTCAGTTAAAAACGTTATATATTGTTTCTCTAACAGTGGATTTATTATCAGGGGTGCGGGTGATTAGTGTCATACTCACTGAGAGTAAACAGAGCTCAAGACTTCTTTCTTCTTCTTCTCATTCTTGGCCTTGATTTTATAGTTCTTCAAATCACTCATCTCTTCCTTCTCAGACCTGAGAGAACAACAGGAAATGATCTGAGTGAAGGAAGCGACCTCAGACAACAGAACAGGTGAGACACTTCAACATGAAGGACTGAGTCTGTACCTGAACATGCACGTCTTCTTCAGAGAGCACCAGTGGTTCAGCTCCTTGTCATCAGCCGTTAAAATCTGAGGGAAGAAGAAACAGAGTCTTTACTCGGTTCGATTTTAAACTTCTGTAACACCGGGGTCGACTTCTTACAGCCTTTACACACCAGAGGCTTTTTATTCATGCGAATTAATTCGCACCTAAGTTTGGTACCAAAACCCAGTGCCTTCCTGTACAGCTGGTACAGATTTCAGGGCCTCATTTCTAGGGCTGCCCCCTAACAGTCAACCAAACATTAGTCGACCAGAGAGGTCATTGGTCAGCAAGATTTCACTGGTCCATTAGTCTCAGAAAAACAAACAAACGTGAAACTCCTTGTCAAAATAAATCACATCCCTTCTTCTGTAAATATTCAGTCTGATGAATACGGAGAAGTTGATCATGTTAGTGGAGGGCTACCCAGATCTTTACTTGTGTCCCACAGACAATAGGTCTACACACTTATAAACAGCACCTGGAAGAAGATCAGCTCTGCACTCAGGATTTCAGGTTAACAGGATGTATGTAGGCTGTATCTCAGTGCTTTTGTAGCTTCTCACTGAATCTCTGTGGTTTGGGGTTTAGTTTCTCTCCTGTGTCCTGTTTTTACTTTAGATATCTGCTTTATTTTACCGTTCATGTTCGCTATCAGCCGTACAAGAAGTCGCTGCTCGAAAACTCAACATTTCTCATTTTGGTGCTTCACAATAAAAGCTTTACATAACAAAATAACTGGGGCTTTTATTGTGAAGACTATAGGAAACTAAACATGTTATCGCTGAATTAGCGGCTTCTCTTCAATAAAGACCAGTCTAATAATGCAGCAGGGAGGAAGAGTAGAAGCAGAAACAGCCACAGTGAGATGTTGATGAAGAGCTGCAGACAACAGGCTCTTACTGCACCTCTGCAAACAGCTCACCTCCAACAGGTAAACTTCTTGTACCTGCCCTGCTGTTGAAAAACACGTGCAGCAAAAAAACTCTGTATAAAATACCGGGATATATCGCCTATGAATTTTTGCCCATATTGCCCAGCCCTAAATGACACCTAGCTCTATTCACAGACACATTTTTGTTAATGGTTGTTTTTAATCATGACTATCTGCACACATATTATGCGGCACAAAGGTGCCATAATTTTTTTCCCCCCAACAACAAAGTTGATATTTCTGAGCTTTTGCAATGCACATGAAGGCATTACATACATTATGATATATGTGGAGTAGAAAACAAAGTTTTGTCTCCAGTTAATTATAATCTCTATATTGAGGCTATAATCGCTGACGGACGCTCAGCAGAGGAGAGTGTGTTAGGCGTATATGAACCAGTTTCTGGTGTGGTGAAAGATAATTCATCATCATAAAGAAAACTCACATTTGTCAAGCATGGATTTCTCTTACTGTCCTCATTTCTACTCGTGGAAACAACCCCGTAAAAAATTTAATTTAATGTGGAGGTAACATTAGACAACTTTTAAAACTTTTTAACACGTATTATATTACATGAATGCATTACTTTTGTAACGTGTTACTCCAACACTGCTAACTACTGTTAGCTCTGTTAGCACAATTAGCAGTGCAGCACAGCTACCTGGGCTTTTGTGGCTCTTACACAGCAGGTCGACCTGGGGGGAGACTGGGGGTGGCCGTGATGTTTCCGCAGCTATGTCATATCAGTGACTGATCGTCTGAGCGCTATGTTAGGTTGGGTTTTCTCCGGGATGCTCCGGTTTCCCCGACACTCAAAATCAATTTGGAAAGTAATTGGACAAAATGAATTAAATAAAAACTACATCTTTCAGTTGTGACATTTGCATTTCCTGTACACCTCCTGTATGACTAGAAGTGATGATGATGTCACAAACTGATGAATAATGGGCATGAATTAAGTTCTTTCTATTCTGTTGTTTTAATTCTGCTTAAGAAGTATTCTGGTAAAGTTACCCCCACATGGCTCAGTGTACCTACTGACTTGGATCAATTAACCACTAACTTGCAAGTTCAGGGCCCCAGACTGACTTTTTTTAGTTGAAGCACTGCAGCCCCTAACTGAAACATTTTAGGAGCACAAGCAGAAAATTTAGGGGCACACCTTTAATCGTCCTGCAACACAATTATTCACATTTTTGGCCATTTAAACTGTATCATAAACTGTATGTAGTCTACTGTATAATAACATTGGACTGTTTTAATTATTGAAGTATTTAGCATCACAGAGACTTGTGGTCAGTGAGATGTGAGGATTCTTAAAATAACATGTGGGTCAATGAAGTGACGCTACTTTTTTTGTGTCCATATGGTTTAGTCAAATTTAAAAGGGTTAAAATTTGAAAATAAATGTACGATTAACTTACAAACTTTAATTTTGTGTGGATCCAGTATAAAATTTCTACTTTTAATACATTTTGAGAGAATATATTAGAGGATAATGGCAAAAATGTCTAAGTGGTGTAACCATAAAAACTTGCACCAAATAATTAAACTTGCTTAAAAACACTAAAATTCTCAATAAAACACCATATCAACTAGTTTGGCATGATCTTTAAATTATTACTTTTTTATATTCAATAAAGGTAATGGAATACAATTGTCCTAAATATGAAATTTAATTTGGGGAATCATGAAAGTCAAGTAAACTACATGAAGTGTCAAGTGGTGTAACCACTATTCAAGAGGCCGTTTTGTTAATATAGTAAAGAAGGCCATGTGACAGGAAATGGTGTTAGAGAGAAGGACCCCTGATGATCACAACTGCTGCATGACAAGGTTAGAATCTCTTAAAATTACTAATAAATTGACGTTTTTAGACTCTGGCCAGGTTTGGTAAGTGTACATGTCAAATGGCATGACCCTAGAAAAACAATTCATAAAAATTATTAAAATGAACATTTACTTTAAAAATTATGTTTGAAATATTGAGACTAAGGCCATGTGCTTACACAGGTGTCCATGGTAATGCCTGTCAAATTTGATTTTAAAATGAAATGTCTAATGGTGTAACTGGTTACACCATTAGACTCCTATTAAGAGCCTTTCTGTTATAGGCAATTATGTCAAATATCAGCAGTTTATGACAGTAATTTGTTAGATATCAGTAGTTTGATGCTAATTAAAGATGTATTACAAAAAAAATACTTTTGAACTTGTACAGTAGCTTTAAAATACCTAAAAATCCAATAATTCATTTAAAGTAGAAATGTTACTCAAACATTAAAATTTCTGTCTGTAAAATACAATTATTTACATTTCTGCTATTTCATTACAATATATGATACATTTATAGAAAACTAAAGTAATCAAACTAAATAAATAAAATCAATTTTCCCCATTAGGTGCCAGATCCTAACAAGGAAAAAGTGGCTCGTCATAGAGTGCTAATGCAAATGAATGCTAATGCTGCAGCAAGGGCCAACTGCGTCCTTACAAGCTGTTGTTGTCGTCAGGTCACTTTTTCCCTTATCAGAATTTAAAACACAAAACATGAGTTAAATTTTAAAATTAAATGATTGCTGTTAGCAAAGAATTTACAGTAGAAGAAATTAGCTCACTGCTGTCAGATGTTCTTTTTTCTGAACTGAAATAACATGAAAAAACCAAGTTCACTTAACCTTGTTGACTGTCATTTGATTTTCTCTGTCAGTTCCTTCACCAAACAATGGTGTTTGACTGTAGAAGGAACATGGTCAGGCAGTGTATCATATTTTTATGAAAAATACCAGTTACACCAATTGACACAACCCAGTGTCATTTGGTGTAACTGGTATTTTTTCCTAAAAAATATTATACAGGAAAATAAATGTGGAGTAAAATGTGGAATAAATGTAATCTACTTCTGCAGTGCAACACTTTTTTTTTTAACAAATTTTACATAATTTGTCACGCGTTATTTAGAAAAAAAGGGGTGTTTAAGAAATGTCCTGCTCAGTATTGCCAAAATGCATTAACATTTAAATATATAGAAATACTCCAAAAATCTTATTTCAATGCTTTTGAAATAAAGATTTTTTTCTAAATACACTTAAATCTACTGTAGGTGGATAAAATATTTAATATTTATCATTCTTTCGTGGTTACACCATTTGACATTTTCAGGAGCATTCAGTCTTACTTTTCATAAAAAAATGGTGCAAATGTCATTTCAAATGACATAAAACCAACAAAAACACAGAATGTACATTTTAACAAATCTGATGCATGCTTTGAAAACTATTTTTGAAGATATTTCTGGATTGCTCATCCTGCCAACCCTTATTTGTCACTGACCCATGTACAGATGTGAAGCCCTGACTATATCTGACTGATCTTTAATGAAAGCTGTTGTCTTGTATAAAATATGAATATAATGGTAGGGAAACACTGATAGTTTTATGTGAAATATTTGCAGGCCAGTATTTTGGATTTCTGTGACATTTATTCAACACGCCGCCCGGTGTGTAAAGGTCTTTAGGAGTTAAATATTTGCTGCTGTGTGGTTCTGCTCAGAGAGAAGATTAAGTTGAGATCATTCCCTGGTCAGAGCTCTGCCCGGAGGAAGAGCAATACCAGATCAGTCACCTCACGTCTCATCACTGCAGCATCACCGACCAACATCCAGTCAGCATTCTTTATATCCGCTGTTCACATCTTGTTTTAACGATATTAGACGGACCATTCTCTCGAGCGCGCCCCTGAAAAGCTACTGTCCAATCATGGCTCAGCAGCTGTAAGCAGCTCTGGATTTCTCCTTGTTCAAGTGATGTGTATGAGGCTGTAATCAGAGATATTCTGAATTTAAAGAGTCCGAAAGGTATTGTTTGGGATGAGCTACAGTTTGCTTCATTATCTAAATACAGCTGATTAAATGGAGGTCGTCACATCAGCTGGCAATAAGAAGCTGCTTCTGTCTAAATGAAATCGGCTTTTTATTCATTACCAACAGTTTTTGATGGCAAATCACTGTAAACTGTATTCTGTGCTGTGTGACAACAGGAGCTTGAGAGGAACAGTAACTACAGGAGGCGGAGCTTAGTGAATGGTCAGTAACCCAGAGGTGGTGAAGCGCTGCTGTTCTCACCTCATCAGTGGTCAGGCCGAAGTCATTGGCGAGGACCTGCCTGTAGCGGAACCTGCAGGGGAGGTCGTCGATGATGTCCTCGTAGTCCAGCTTGTAGTATTCATCCAGGTACTGCTCGAAGGATTTCTCCTCTGGAACACAAACAGTCCACAGTTAGATAACTGTTCAGAGGAGGACCTGTGATAGTTATGTTTCAGTGGCAGGTGGTTCACTGACACCAGGGTTCAGTGTTAATTTCACTGACGGAAACTATGATGAAAATTTTTCGTCAATGGCCTTTTTCCATGACGAAAACGAGAGGATGACGAGCTAAAATCAGATCTTTATTAAAGAAACTAAGATGAGTCGTGATGAAATGTCAATGATGGACTATAAGACATTGAAAGTCGAGAGCGGCCGTGCTTGTATTTATCTTCAAATCCCACAGGAGCCACAGGCTGGTAAACTCCAGTAAATAGTCAGTAGCCAGCAGAAACAGTCACACTGGAGCAGCATCAGCTGTTAGTGCGAGTTGTGAGCTGTAATTCAGCAGTAAACAATCAGCCGCGTGTGTCTGACTGTGGATGGCAGAGCTGCTGAATGGATTTGTGGAGTTTGTTAGTTGCAGCGGCAGCTGTTAGCAGCTAGCTCCGCTCGCAGCCAGCGGCCGTCGGACTCCACTCAGTCCGGACTGTAGAAGGTTTCTGGGTTGATGGCTCAGTTATCTGTGAGTGTAGCTCAGTTATCTGTGAGTGTAGCTGTGCTGTAAGTAAACAGTCTGAACTCAGATCAGTTTTCTCTGACAGAGATGAAAGTTAAAAGCTAACATGTTGCACATGAAGAAAGACGTTATGTTTCTGCTTCGTTACAGTCACATGGATAAGTCAGAGTTTACAATGAACCTGGGGACAAATCCTAGTTGGCTCACATTACTTATTTGTTGAGAGCATAAATAGAGAGATGTTGAGCTTTTCAAATGATGATCAGTAAGTGTGTACTCGTAAATCAGCCCTTAAACCTGTCACACACTGCTGGAGAAATGACAGTTTGGAAGTGTGCACAAATTATTTGTAGTTTTAGAAAATTGTCTAAATGAAATTTTCATACAACCTGTCACCTTGATTCTAATTCCTGACATGAATTAGCCTCACTGGATTAGTTTAAAGATAAAAAAACATAAAAAACATAATGACTAAAATGTTTTGAGCTTTCATCAACTAAAATTAATCTAAAACTAATAAGCATTTTCATCTCAGGACAAAGACTAAACCTAACTAAAATTAACACTGCTCAGGTGTCTGTCACACTGGTTTGATGTTAGATACTGATGTGATATTAAACCAACTCTGACCAACACTTACGTGGATCAAACACAGGCTTGTGTTTGGTGATGACTTCAGCAAAGTGAGACTTTTTTCTCCTTTTGCCCATTTGCGGCAGATCCTCTTTCTTCATCTTCTTCCTCTCTTTTATCTTCTTCTTCTTGGAGGCGGCGTGCTGGGTCGGGTCGTAGTCTGCATCCATCTGTTCCAAAACAACATTTGATGAGCGAGTTTCTTTTTATCAGAACAAAAAAACGTTGTACAGCTGATCTCAGAGGTAACCAACACGCTGTCACCATCACTCAGTAAAAATAAAACGACTCACAATGAAGTTTTCATCATCACAGTGGGGCCCAGAGGCGTCATTCTCCTCTTCATCATACTCCTCTTCACCATAGTCCTCATCTCGATCCTCTCCTGTCCAAGTGTCCCAGTTCCAGTGCTCTGTTGCACACACAAGAAGCCATGGGTTACATCTTCACACTGTCTGATACCTCAATGCAATTAACTGTGTTCAAACACACTAAGCAATGAAAAAGTATTTAAATCCTATGAAACTTCTCTACATGACTTTAAGACTAAACTTCACATCAGCTAACAAGAGGCAAACAGAGTCTTACCCTCAAATTCATCATCATCCTCAAACTGAGGTTTCTCCTCTTCTTCTTCTCCGTAATATTCATCTCCAAAGAATTTCTGCAAACAGGAAGGACAAATTAAAGCAAATGTCCCTGATGAGTTCAAATGTATCTAGAAAAAGAAGCCATCAGTGTGTTTTCTTGGTAAAGAGCAGTGGTAGTTGTGTCTTCATCAGCCAACAGAAATGTTGTCTGGTTTAAACCCTAAACTGAGACGCCTATTTTCATAAACGGACATTTCACCGTCTCCGTTTTCAAAAAGATCTTCGTTTACACTTACCCGTGTGTATATATACACAAGAGCATGCCAAACCTGTAGGTGGCAGTGTAACGAGAAGCTCAAGCCTTCCATGTATCCATTGTCACCATAGCAACATAGGTCGCACTTTTTACACAGGCGCAAGTTCTGGCGCATACTGTGACGTCGGCTGCCTATAACTCCATTTATTTCTGTTTATATCAGTTTACATGCAAACGCGCACCCGGAGTTTTCCAAAATCTCCACCCTGGCCAGAGTTTTTAGAAAGACTCATTTTCAAAGGAGAAATCTCCGTTTGCGTGTAAACAAAGGGCACAAATGAAGGAAGATGTCTCCATTTATCAAAATCACTGTGTACGTGTAAACGGCCTCTGACTTCTCTGAGGATAGGTCTAATTAGCCAAACACAGTCCACCTGTGTCAGCTGGGTCTGTTCCTGAGCAGCGTAACGAGTTAAACTCAACACACCTGAGTGAGCTGGGACAAGGTAGCTCTAATTCAGACTTCACAGCACATTCAGGTGGTGTTGGAATAATCAGAAAACTGAGCTCTTGACTTGAAAATAGACGTCAACGCCCCCTCAAACCCTTACAGCTTGACTAGACACTTTCCTTGGTTGCATCAGTGCTTCTAACATTTAGCAGGTCTGTCTGTGGGTCCGTACCGTGTAACATGCAACAGTGAGGGTCGATAAGCTGTTTAAACTGAGTGTGATCTGTCAGCCAGCAGCAGCAACCACATTACAGTCAGCTGACAGAACTAACAACAATGTCGGCGTGCAGGGCAGACGCCACGGTAGCTTCTCTAGTTATAGGTAATAAATATACATAAATAACTGCCTGCATAAACAGTAATGATCGCAACATTTCATGAAAGCCTAAAAGGCATTCATCAGGGGCCTGTATCACGAAGCAGGGTTAATGTCTCAGCGAGGTAACTTCAGGGTTAACCCTGGGTTTTCGGTCTCACAAAGCCGGTTCAGTTCTTATCGGGGTAGATCACCATGGTAACTTACTCTGAACGTCTGTCCTGCTCCGGAGCAGGGTAAGTTCAGGGTTGAATCTGATCCTATAAAAAGCACCACCCACTGGCCAATCAGCTGTTCGGAAAAAAATGACTCCGCTGACAGAAATGCAGCCCAGTCATGACGGGAAGTTTAATTCATTTGATTGATTTTGATTTGAAAGTTTATTTTGAACATTAAAAAAGAAAAAAAAGCAACAATAACAGACAATGAAAAGATTGTTCAAAAAGGAGTGGAAAGAAGTCGAACTTTCATCCCACCCCTTCATAAGAAAGAAACTGATCATTTGCGGACACTTAATAGCACCATTAATTAGTGCCAACGTTTTGTTTTGTTGGAGGAAATGATCCCTGTTAAAGATAATGGGCCTAATTGACAGCTTTGCTGCTGGAAATGTGGAAAGTAGCCTATCATGTCTACACTTCATGGTGTTTGAGGGATTTTCCTTTTTGTTTTTTAAAGAGGGAGACTAGGTATATTTTTGCGCAGCTGTTAATTTCTAACACAGCTCAATATCAGGATGATTTTATTCAGACTATCAGTTTGGTGTTGATATGATTTAATTGTGGCGTCAGGTTTAAGCTTTATTGTAGCATATATAACGTAATGACAAAAAGACCAATTTATCAGACGCAATGATGTTAGACGATAATTGTAATACACGCAATTCATCTGCGCAGCATTGATTTCATGGGATTCAAGGGTGTGATCAGTGTCAGATGTACAGGTACAGGTACTGTAGCTACTTGAACCAGTGATGAGTAATTTAACCTACGCATCATTTTGTTTGCTACCTTGTTTTGTCTTGATTTTTCCCTCTCTCCTCCTCTATTTCTTCTTTCCTCACCCGTTTCTTTTTCTTCTCTATTATGTGATTTCATTGATGTTTTGACAGGGGAATTTCTTTGATAAGCTTTTAGTGGCTTCTAACCTCTCCGGCACTTTTCTTTTTTTAATCTTGTAAATTTTATACTGTCTGTTTTTAACATCATGTGCAAATAAACTAATCTAAACTAAAGCTAAACATTATTCATCCCGTTATGCGTTGCCACGCATGTTTCCTCCTCCTGCAGCTGCCACGGTGTTGGCCTTTTCTCTAATGTTGCTTTCCTCCTCCTCATATTTTAGTAGAATTAATCTCTGATCCTCACAAGAAATACTTTTTTTTCCCCTCACATACGGCGCTCTGTGAGGACGCTCAGTGAGGACGCTCAGTGACGCTGCGCTTCTCTCATGATTGTGATTGGTTCGCTGCGTGCGCGTTCATGGCTCTTGATAAAGCAACTCTGGGTTGAGTTACCGAGTTGATATCCAGCGTCGTGATACTGATTATCCTGATTGCTATTGTTAGGGTTAGTCAACCCAGGATAGGTCTGGGTAACCCAGGAAAGGTTGATCTCGCTTCGTGATACAGGCCCCAGTTCCCTGTTTCATCAATCTCTCGCTTTGTTTGCGTTTGTATGATCCAAGTGGTCGTGGTGACGTATACACCGCTGATATCAGAATCAGAGGGTCTGCACCTTGAGCATGCCAATGCACCAAGGATGTGGAGTCTGCACACAATTTCACAGATATCAGAGCCAGCTGATCGCCGCTAAATTTCACTGATGAGGCGGTGAGAGCGGAGTTTACATGGCCACATCCACACGGCCCATACAAACACAAACAAATCAAGGGAGGTAAGAGAGAGAACTGAGGGGTATTCCAGAAAGCGGGTTTAGTGAAAACTCTGAGTATGTTAACCCTGAAATGAGGGAAACTCTGGGTTTTCAGTTCCAGAAAGAGAGGTAAGTCAAACTCTGAGTCAATCACCATGCCAACTGACTCTGTGAACCTAACCTGCTCACAGGCAGGTTTTCTGTCTCCTCGCTACTGCCGAGCGTGAAGCAAGCTGGCAGACACACATGGGTTGTCCGTATGTGGGAAATCCGATCCATATCGAGGCAGAATTCACAATGCCTTACGCTGGGAGAGGATCTTCAGGCCCCCGTTAGGTGTGCTGTCTTTCCCCAATGAATATCTGTTTGAACGGTTGTGTTTTTTCATTACTCAATCATTTACCAGCCACACATATCAAATCTGACACACCACAGACGTGCGCTCTCATCAGAGCAAATGTGCATCGCGCTTAGGGTTGGGATCCGGATCTGGTTCTTTTTTGGAACCGGGTCCAAAGTTCCAGTTCCGGAACCGGTTCCATCACATTTGGCGTAACGGTTCCTGCAAACGGTTCCTAGATTGTAAAAAAAAAAAAAAATAAATCAAGCGCATTTCCATTAGAGTGCGGCACGGGCCGCATATTTCTGTCTGAACCCGACCGAGCCCGACATTATCTAATCACTAAAGCACTGAGTTTGTGTCACACAATTGTCATGGTTACAGGCTATTTAACAGGCCGGGCGTGCGCCGTGGGTGCTCAGCGAGAGGGAGACCTCCGTGTTTGAGACGGGAGCGGGTGGCGGGAGGTCCGAGGCTTCCAGCAAGGGGAGCGATAGAAACAAACAGCCAATGTGTGTGTGTGTTCTGTTCAGGTGTTGTCATGTAAATAACAGTGCCCAAGCATGAATGCATATAAGTATTTTTTATTACATTGCTGTGGTTAATTTGAGGTAATAGTGTTACTGTAGAAATCAGAGAATTAGTTTTTGTTGTTATATATTCTCAGGGAGATGATACAAGCTCTAAATCTGAAATACACACCGCACACAAATGTGTATTTTCATCTAATTGTACTGTGCAACAGTTAGAATAAAGTTTTAGTATTTGTATGATTGCATTTGTGTTTATTATATACTTGTTTAAGTATAGCAAGTATAATGAATATAATGTAGGAATCTGTAAGAGGAATCGGTAAGGAATCAGACCATTAAGAAGGAATCGGTAAAGAATCTGAATCGTTAAAATCCCAACCCTAATCACGCTACGTTTTTTTGTGAACGGTAGCTTTTGATATGACAATGGTGGCCTACAGTACATAATGACATAGCCACTGAATGACAGGCTATTTAAGATACTTTGTTTAATAAATCAAATATGAATAAAACTAAAGAAAGGTACAGTCATGGCCAAGTCACATATGCCTTACCTGTTTGAATGATGTTTTTATTTTTCATATTAAGCTGCTTTCAAGTGCGTTTTCCCCCTGTGAGATTGCACCCACATGAAAATCAGATTTTATTCAAAACCACTCCACCACTTTTTCACCTGTATGCTACGATTTTAATTAAGTGTGGTTAAATGTAAATTAATGGCACGGCTCTCAAGTTTTGATGTCAGTTCAGAGTGAGATTCAAATTTCAAATAAGTCATCAACCATCTATAGGTGCTTAAAATAGCTGCAGAAATTAGCAAGGATTTTGCCTTAAACTGACAGGACAGTTAAGCGTGAAAGGGGGAGAGAGACAAAGGGAGTGACATGCAGCAAGGTGCCACAGGCTGGAGTCGAACCTGTTGAGTTGAACCTGCAGTAAAAGCCATATATATGGGACGCCTGCTCTACGCACTAAGCCACCAATATCGCGTCAAAGAAGATTTTGCTTGCTAAATTTCACACGCCGCTTCTCTCTCCTTGGCAGCTTTAACGGTGTTTTTTTTTTTTTTTTTAACGAAATATACGCTCATATTCTCTGTAGGCATTCATGAGCACCTCCAATTCCACAGGTGTAAAATAAGTTGAAGTTTTTTCTCTCCGGTTGCCATGGTGACTCGAGGTATCGGGGCTCCGCTGATGATGGCTTTTTATTGTGGTTGTGCACGTGCTTAACTCAAGGTGTACCTACTCAGAGTTGACTGAACTAATTCAAATCAGCTGTTCTGGAACCGGATACTCAGAGTTTCCCAGCTCAGGTAAGTCAACTCAGAGTTCAGGATTAGACTCAGAGTTTGTTGAACCTCCTACCTGGAACACCCCTCATATTGTCATTTAGATGCGTTCTCGCAGACTGGTCTCTTTGGTCTCTTGCTGTTCCTTGAATTTCAGCGTTCACCCCTTCCAACAGAAGTTCCTGAATCTGTCCAGTTAGATATTTACGTTGCCCTCTTCATGTAAACGACCTCTTTTTTACCCTTTATTGTTTGTTTTCTTCCAGTTTTGCACCAATCTAATGATAGAAACATAATCAACACATTTGTGTTCTCACATACAGCTCCTACAGTCTAGAGAAGTTCAGGGTTGCAGTGCATGTGTGGAAGAGGCTGTAGTCTGGAGCTCTAAAAAACTTTTTATGTATCCATGTTATTGTGGCGGTTTGTGTTTCCGCTCACCTGCATGAGCTGGTCGTGTTTTTGTGGATCAAATTCTCCGTCCAGGTCAGTCTGGCTGAAGGCGAGCTGCTCGTTGCCGGTCAGCTCCTGAAGCGTCTTCAGCTTCTCCATGATCTCACCTCTCTTCAAGTTCTTGAGCTGCTTCAGCTGCTCTCGCTTCTGCTCTTTCTCCTGGAAGAGTCGTTGGGAAAGGAAGCAAAGGAAATGCAGGTTTATTTTAGCTAATGAATGAGGACATATTGTGATTTAATACACGGCAGCAGAGAGAAAAAAAGGTTTACACTAAATTTTCTTTAAAGTGAAACACACCTTTTGCTTCCTTTCTTTCACTTCCTCCCTTTTGCGTTTCCTGCGGTCGTCTTTGGAGCGTACAGAAGTGGCGATGTTGCGGGGATACGTCTTGATCTGCTGAGCGTCAGGCTCTTCAAAGCGGAAGTTGTAGCTTCTCTCAAAGTCCTCCTGCCTCTCCAAGAAAGTCTCCCCTTCCTCTTCAGAATCCTCCACGTCATCCTGGACCACCTCATCGTAGGTTGGGATCCTGAACACATCACGTGAGTTTGAATGTTTTATGTCACCGCCACCTCACAGCTCACTAGGAAAACAAAACTGAGATCCACACAGGCAGCAACGTACCGGTCGTCATCGTCGTCCTCATCGAGGTAGCCCTTGTTGAGGACGTAGTCTCTCAGGAAACACTCCTTCTCATCCAGCTGCGGGTCGTTCCAGTAGTCCCTTAAATATTTCTGTTCAACACAAACCAGTGTCATCACTGAGCAAACCTCAAAATGTTTGTACCATCATCATACTTCACACACACTCACCATGTCCTTCACCTCCTCCGGACCCTCGAGGTCAGCCTGGCCTTTCAGCCACTCCACATAGTCCGCCTCCTCTTTATCCTGCAGACACACAGGAGTGCAGGAGTTCATCCTGACCTTTTTTGATGCTTTTATAAATCAGACAAATGTTAAAATGTGCAGCTCTCATTGCTTTGTTTCTTTTTGCCTTCATTTCTTATTAAGAAAATATGACTGAATAAACATTTAAATATTATTTCAAAAAGTAAATTAATTGTTATATTGACTGAGGAATAAAAAAATGAACAATTGGTAAATTAATTTTTAGATTAAAAAAAGGAAAGTCAGATGAATCAATAAAATGAATCCTTAGGTGCAGCCCTAGTAACTGATAACAGCCTCTGACCTTCTCCTCCTGTGTCTTCACCCTCCTGGTCAGCAGCTCAGACACTCCTTCTCCCTCACCGTCGTCATCGTCGTCTTCATCGCTGTCCTGGACAAACTTACGGAAGCTGAGGAGAAGTTTTAGTTTCCCTTTATAGTCTGTTAAGAATTATTCTGCCAGACATCTGCAGACTGTTTGAGTCTCACCTTTCCTTCAGCTCCCGCTGCTCTTGAATGTAGCTCGGAGAGGCAGCTCTCTTTGGAAGAAAACATCAACAGTTAATAAAACATCTGTCACCATTAAGAACATCTGTATTCCTGAGGGAGCAACATTATTTCATATCAGGGTCTACCTCTATTCTCCTGACGGCTTCCTCGTCATCACTGTCATCGTCATCCTCGTATTTACTGTAAAGTAAAAACAAAATCAGAGATTAGGTAAATAATAGAGAAATAATGAATCTGCAACAGGTTCAACACTTGTTTAATAAAAGGTTTTGATATGAACAGACTGGCCGACAGTGACGAGATTAACAGTCTGAGCCCGTTGTTGTTGTTCAGCCTCTCACACATTTTCATGGACAAAATTTCAACTTTTCAAGGACCTGTAATATTGTTTTTCTTCAGCGCTTCTCAAACATATCGGACTCAAACTCTATTCAAACATTAGGCTCGTTCGAGATGAGCCAGGCCTGCGCAGATTTGATCATCAGCAATCGCTGCACAATGCATGTCAGTTAGTTTTGTGTAGGGGTGACCCCGAATAGTCGATGATTCAGTGATTCGATTTGGAGAAGTCTGATTCGACTGCCAGTGTCGCCGTCGAATCGTCGCAAAATGTGGTTATGAAACAAGACCGTACCATTCTGACTATATGGGGGTGCTCACTGCTGCTGAACATCTTGATTTGACATAGAATGTATTTGTTTTCTAGTAATTCATGATATATAGCCTATTTTGATACAAACAGCAGCCTAATTTCTGTTAATAAAAAATTGAAAATGACGCGTGTGTTTAATCAGTAGGCATAATCATTACTACGCTTGAATAAATCACCCAGTTGCTCGATCCAAATAAGCGGAGGTGAGTGGGTGCGCTGCAGGACCATCAGAGCAGCATCGAGGCCTACGGTGATTTACAGTGGCGGAGCGCATAAACAAACACTTCAGAGGAGGTATGTGCTCTCAAATCAAACCTTTTTGAAGGATTATTCGTTTACCTGAAGTGTCTTGAAACGAATTTCACCGCTGATTGTTTTCTTGATGAACTCTGATTATTTATTTGGCTACTTTTTGTCCGACGTGGCCAAACGATTGAGAGCGGTGACCCGCGGTCAGTGTGGATGAACTTGTATGAACCTGAGTTGATTAATGAAGTAACTTGAAGTCAGAAAGAAGGAAAACTGTTTCTAAACCTTTTGATGATGTTTTTGGATGTTTATCCTACTATTAAATGGAGAAACCTCTGTCCCTCCGTCCGTCTGTCATCATCCGTTTTCCTCCTCATTGCTTTGACCTATTTCTTATTCCTCTATACATAACACATCCCTGGGTATGGACTAGTTATAATTTATCATCTTATAATACCAACTGAAAAATTAAATTTGTTTATTTGGGTATTTTAGCTCTTTTCTCTGGAGCAGAAACTGACGAAAATGAGCTCATTCATCAATGAGGGGGAAAAAAACATGATTCGACGATTAAGCCTGATTTATGGTCCTGTGGCGTACCTACGATCTACCTAAGTCGTTGCCGTGACGCCGTCGTGAACCCTTCGAACTTCTCCGTCACTCCATTTCATCGCAGTGCAATTCACCGCCAGAGCGGTAGGAGGCTGCGTTCCTTTCCTGAATGGTTATCGTTGTCTCTAGTTGATTCTTTGTTTAGCTTTCGGCTTTTCCGGCCACAGAGAAATGAACGCGGAGCACGGACAGACGGCTCCGTCCGTATCCGTATTAAACATTGAGCATAAATGGGCCTTAATACTGCAACATCTACATCGCAACAGAAGATGTTTAAAGATGGCAGGGATGGTGCAATCTGGAAATACGGAACCCGAAATGCGTTGCTACCAAGCAAACCAATCACAGCCCTCTCGGTCTGCGCTGGGTCTGCGTCGCCTCAACATGTAGTTACATTTTTGGGGAAGTGCACGTCATGCTACACCGGGGGCTATGGCGAGCCTCCTGCGTAGCCACGTACCCTACGATGTAGCGACGTCGTTGATTTAACGCAGGACCATAAATCAGGCATTAGTCGGCTAAAGGAAAAATCTGTCAAATCAGATTCGACTATGAAAATTCTTAGTCGGGGACACCCCTAGTTTTGTGTCCAACTCCAAAAGTGGAAAGTGAAAATCTCATGAAAGCGAGGTGCCCGCAGTTTTTAGAGCCAGACGCTGCAGCTGCTCTCCACCAACTGCAAGACCCAGAGCATGATGGGAAATGCCTGGCTCTGATCTGATCTAACAGCTGATTGGTTTAGATTTCGACTCAACAAGATGACGTTTGAGAGGCCGTTTACACGTACACAGTGATTTTGATAAACGGAGACATCTTCCTTCGTTTGTGCCCTTCGTTTACACGCAAACGGAGATTTCTCCTCTGAAAACGAGTCTTTCTAAAAACTCCGGCCAGAGTGGAGATTTTTGGAAAACTCCAGTTGTGCGTTTGCATGTAAACTGAGATAAACGGAGATAAACTGAGTTATAGGCAGCTGACATCACAGTATGCGCCAGAACTTGCGCCTGTGTCAAAAGTGCGACCTATGTTGCTATGGTGACAATGAATACTTTGAAGGCTTGAGCTTCTCGTTACACTGCCACCTACAGGTTTGGCATGCTCTTATGTATATAAACACGTGTAAGTGTAAACGAAGATCTTTTTGAAAACGGAGAGGGTGAAATGTCCGTTTATGAAAATAGCCGGCCACGTGTAAACGGCCTCTTAGACTTTTAAATTTTGTTGAATTTCAACATGTTGTGTGACTGATGGTGAAGTTTAGTCGTCACAGACTGAATACATTCATCATAAACTATACAAAGTCTACTGTATATTAACACTGGACTGTTTTAATGGGATGAGAGAGTTTTGGTGACTTCCTGTGCAGACTGAGGGCTGCTTGAACAAGCCTGTTAGTCCTGCTAGTAAGCATACATTAAGGGAGAGACAGAATGCAAGCTGAAAATAAATATGCGTATGCAATGGTTAATATAACTCTGTCACACATCCACGGATATTAGAGCAACGTCATGCCGTCACCCTCAGAAAATAAATTTGCGGTTTTCGTACCTTACTAGGAGGGTTATCTACTGAGAATTAGTGTGACACATTCATTATACACAACAAAATTCCATGACTTTTCCAGGCTTGGATACTGTTACTTCAAAACCTTTTCTAGGTTTTCCATGACCGTAGGAACACTGTATAATACATGCAGAGTTTTTTCAAACAATATTTAAACATTTACATTTAATTTTGCTTAATTCTGAATGTTTTCTCAATTAAAAACTAGTGGACTAGTCTAAGTTTTAACTTCCAATTAAGCGTCACTTCAGGTAAATTAGTCAAGAAGAATGGGGCCAGAAATGTGACTGTAGAGCAGGTTGATGGTATATGTGTGTGTCAGAAAAAGACTTGAAAACAAATGATGGCACATCAGCAGGTCACTCACCCCTCCCTCTCCAGTATCACTTTACGTTCATAGTCCTTCAGATACATGGGCTTCACTGCTGTCTTCGAGGTTGACGGCTTCTCATCACTGATGGATGCACCTGAAATAAAATGATGTGTATCTTAAAGATGTCCTTGAAACCTTGAACGCAACACCAATGATTGTAGTCCACAACACTCACCTTCTGAGAAGAACTTAGCATCTGTCTGATAGATCTTTGGGTCTTTCTTCTTCAGCAGTGACAATGTCCTGTAAAAATCCCTCTCAGTTTCAGGGTCCAGCTCCTGAGAGGGGAAATAAAACTCAGTCAGGAAACATGATGCACTTTAAACGTTGCTTGGACACTTGTTGAGATATGAAAGAAGCAGCGATGCTAACCACTTCACTGTCATCAGAGCTGGACTCGGACGACTCAGTCTCATCTCCTCGATCTCCGTATTTGTCCTTCACTGCACAACAACACACAACACACACATATTAAACCCACAAATATCACAACATCGCAGAACACAACTCAGAGCTAGCTACACGTCCCCACGTTGTGTTGTTAGCCTGTTAGCCGTGGTTAGCTAGCTGTGACACTCACGTCTCTGTAGTTCTTCCTTCTGTCGGTATTTCTCGTATTTCTGAGCGAACTGGGAGTTTATTTTTAACTCCGACATGGTTTTAATAAAGAAAACAGCTTTATGATACAGTTAAAACTACACGCTGTTAAAGGGAAGTCATCCCCGCTAAGGCATGCGCGTGTGGAGAGCTGAACTACGTAGTTTCCGGTCCTCACGTCATAGATGACGTACACTGTCCACCAGGGGGCGCGCTAATACTAATTTCCTCTAATCAAATTTTGATTGACATTGTTCACCACTTTATATTTTGATTATTTATGATATTTTAATTATCTTATTTATCATTTTAAGTATTTATAATATTTTATTTATTTTTAATATTTTAATTATATTAGTTCTCACTTAAATTATTTATAATATTCCATTTTTAGAATCTTTCATTATTTTATTTATCATTTTAAGTATTTATATTTTATTTATTTTACTTATTTTATTCATTTTTAATATTTTAATTATATTAATTATCACTTAAATTATTTATAATATTTCATTTTTAAAATCTTTGATTATTTTATTTATCATTTTAAGTATTCATATTTTATTTATTTTACTTATTTTTAATATTTTAGTTATATTAATTATTACTTTAATTATTTACAATATTTCATTTATAATATGTTTCATTATTTTATTTATTATTTTAAGTATGTATAATATTTCATTTATTTTACTTATTTTATTTATTTTTAATATTTTAATTATATTAATTATAACTAATTATTTATAATATTTTATTTATAATATGTTTCATTATTTTATTTATTATTTTAAGTATGTATAATATTTCATTTATTTTAATTGTTATTTTGCTTATTTTTAATTTTTAATTACAGTTACTATAACTGATTATTTCTAATATTTTATTTATTTTAATCATTTATAATATTTGAATTATTTTGATCATTATTTTATTTATTTTCTTTATTTATTTTCTTTTTACCTTGACAGACTGAAGCAAATCTCTAAAATATGTTGTTAATTTTCTTAATTTATAGAGAAAATGATTTATTTCACTAACATTCAGAACATTTTGTTTTCTAACTTTCTTTTACACTTTTTATAATTAAGTAAAACTCACTACTTAATTTCCTCGCCATATCCTCCTGAGACCTGAGCTTTTGTTTGGTATGCATTTTTAATTTCTCCTAGCTATTTGCCATCAGTACCCTAGGACCCAATAAGTATAAAAACACTAAACATTGTCAACAATAATTAAGTCCCAATATCCTCAAATAAGATGTCAGTGAAGGTCCAATGTCCTCAAACGAGATGACAATACAGTTCCAATGTCCTCAAATGAGACGATAATAAGGTCACAGTGTCTTCAAGCAAGTAGGCCTACTTCCTAATTAACAGCGTCTTTTCTTGTTACTGTCGCTAAAATTTGTCAAATTTGTTGTCATGTCAAACTGCAAACATTATTAATCAGAAATAATCAAGTTTCAACCATAAATGTTTTGTCCTCTTTTGTGTCAGGGTCAACTGCAGACTGACTTGGCGGAGATGGCTGCCATCTTGTTTTTACATGGATTAGTGTATTGTGCTCTTACTGCCACTAGATGGCACCAAAAACCGGTCCACGAATGAGGACAACCGGTCTAAGTTAAGTAGACTATATACCCTCTCCAATGGCTCCCTCTGGTTTTGACACAAATTATATGGAAACAAGTAACTGTTAATTTTAAACATTTGTCATTGTTGTAGGTCTAAAGTGATAATTGCATTCTACAACTGTAAAGATGTGCAGCCTGTATATTGAATCAAAACATTTTTTAACATTTCATCAACTGTGATGTGCGTCGTATGTCTACAGACTGGTGCCTTTTTTTTTGCCTTTGTTGAACTTAAGTAGCAGTGACTAGCACTGAGTCTCGGAGGAAAATAGATGATTTAATAGTGTGTGGACAGATTCATTTGCTTTCACCACCAACCCTGCAAAGTTTACGTGCTAAATTAAAATAAATATCCCACTGAAGAGTAGCCACCTTTTCGTTGCTTTCTGACGTCGCAAGTCACTGCCCAAGCGTCGGATTTTGACGGCTTCGGAGTGAGAGCAGGCTCTCAACACCAATACACAGCACTAAATACAAAAGGAGTCATATAGTTACTGAAGTTAAATATCATTACGTGATCATAGATGCAAATCTTAATTTTATATATTAAAATCAAATTTTCCAAAGTAACGACAGAGCCATTCAATACAACATAGTTTCATAGAGTTTTGGACAAATTAGGAAAATTCAAATCTGAATAAAAAGCCAATTTAATCAGTCATTAAATACATTTTGTTATTCGTTTTTTTCTGTGCATGTCATTTCCTGTCTCTCTTTTCATTTCATATATAATAAATGCATAAATTACCCCCAAATTATGAACAAACAAACTGTTAAAACTAGAGGATTTTCTGAGGAGACAAACTTTAAGAGGATATGTTCCTTTAAGAGTGGGTGGATACTGGGAATTTACCTATAAAACATTATAACTCCTCTATCAACAACTTTAATCAAATATCATTAGTAGCACCATTGGTCAAGCTGTTGTCTGGTGAGGAGTGTGTGCCTCCCAAATAGGAGTGGTATACATCCAAACACAGTCTGAGCAAAGGTCAGTGACGGTCCGACTGGCTGGTTTTGTTTATGTAGTATCAGGTGAGCATTGATGTCGTATCATCACACTTTGGCAGATCGAACATCAGGTGGAACTTACTGGAACCTGCTCAGAAATATTACCATTATGAATTTGTGTGATTGTACAAATGGCATGTTTAATCTACACCAACATGTGAACAAAGAAGAAATACTATATTAGCTTTATGGATGAAGTGGAGTCAGAAGTATAAAAGTAAATCACCGCAGAAAAAACTGTCTTCAGTGAAGTGGATTTTATGTCTTTCTTTCAATCTGAAAAACACATGCAGTGAGTGGAAAACATGACTCCCGTAGTATTTATTCCATTCATCTGTGGGACCTACTGGAATCATCCAGTCCGCCGCACATGACCTCTGTGGTTATATTAATGATTAATGATGTCAGATTCAGACAAAACTTTTCTTAGAAAAACAGACGTTTTCTGTGGTCTGTGAAAACAAATTGTTCCCCAGGAATCTTTATAACTGTTTGGACAATGAGAAGTTGAAAATCAGCCATGAATCGGGAAGGATTCACACTAGGCATGGATGTCGTAATAGTCATATACAGTGTATTTTGTCAGAGGGAGATTTGAGAGTTGGCATAAACTGTGTGTTTTCATATCTGCGTGTTTACCCACATGTCTACGAACATGTCACTGCATCTTTCACCTGTTTGGGTTATCACTTAAACACTTCCTCTCTTCCTCAGCCTTGAATTTTACACGTGACATATATAATGATGGGTTTGACCACAGATTGGCAGCAGGCTCACGAAGCCGTTTTTCCCCCCTCTCCTCTCAGACAGCTGCAAAACATTGCTCATGGAAGGTATGGCCACGAGACTGTAACACACAAGTGATTTAATCTTCATGTATGATAACTTGAAACTCATTAAATCTTTCAAAGTGCAAATTAAAGTCCTTGTTTTTAAGGAAAACATCAATAAACACATAACAAACTGCTCATGAACATGTCTACCAAGCTGTGCCTGGAGTCATGGAAAACTGCTTGCCCGTGTACAAACACAAATCAGTTCAACATACTACACATCCCCTGACAATTTAGTATGTTACCCAAGTTGACAGTGCTCGGTCTCATCATGTAAAAAATAAATAAATATTACCAAACTATGAAGGTTGTTCATAAATGACCATATTTAGAGTGTACAATATGTGTATAATATGCTCCAGCTCCCATGCATGTGTTATCTATTTTATGTGCATAAATACAATACAGACTTTCCCCACACTCACACTGTTGTTACTTTTCCTTTCTGTGGTCTCACACTGCTGGAGGATTTCTAAGAAACAGGGGTTTTGAATTTCACTGAGACAGCCAGACTTTCTAGGAAGAAGGTCTGGGGTTCCAAAGAACTACAAAACACAGCCAGCCCTCCTGGAAGAAGACAGAGAGACGTAAAAAAAAAAGTGAACCCCACTTCACATTTTCTGCCATGTCCGCATACCACAGCTGCTGGATGGAAAACAGTGGACACATGCTGCTGTACATCATTCAAAACTCATCCGCCACACATGTTAAGCAGCATTTCAAACACATGATAACAACACAGACAGGGAAAGGTAGACGTGGCTTTACACCCTGTAATAAAGGGAAAAACAATGCCACTAATACACAAATAGTTTTGCAAAGACATTTCGAAACAATTGAAAAATAAATCACAACCATGACTTATAGTGTGTTTTCACTTTACATGAGTTCTGCTAAATTGAAATTCTTATAAGACAAAGAGTCCAAATAAACATTCAGTTACACATGCAAACTATTTTAAGGCAGTGATTCCCAGCCATAAGGTACTGCTGCAGGAGCCACAGTATTTGGACAGATTGTAGCTCAGCTAATGAACTCAATTAAACTCAACCAACAAAACAAACAAACAAACAAACAAAAATAGCAATTGTAACTTGATTAAAAATATATATCTACATATTTAGGTTGAGGAGGAATATACTCAGCTAAATAGGATTTCAAATTGATGTGATGCTGACCTTTAGTGAATGCCCATAGCTGCATGTATGAAAATTAGTTTAAAATGTTTTTTTTTTTTTTTTTAAAGTAATAGATAAAAAGCATAGGAAATAGTTAGCTAAAAGTAGCTAATGGATAAACAGTTGAAATCATTAGCTAAAGTGGCTAAAGGATGAACAGTTGAAATAGATATCAAAAAGTGGCTAATATAACAGTTGAAAAGGTTAGCTGAAAGTAGCTAGCAGATAATCAGTTGAAACAGTTTGCTAAAAGTGGCTAATGGATAAACAGTTGAAGTAGTTAGCTAATAGTAGCTAAAGGATGAACAGTTGAAATAGTTAGCTAAAAGCAGCTAATGAATAAACAGTTGAAACAGTTAGCTAAAGGATACTAATGGATGAACAGCTGAAATAGTCAGCTAAAAGTTGCTAATGGATAAACAGCTGAAATATTCAGCTAAAAGCAGCTAAAGAATAAACAGTTGAAACAATTAGCTAAAGGATACTAATGGATGAACAGATGAAATAGTCAGCTAAAAGTTGCTAATGGATAAACAGCTGAAATATTCAGCTAAAAGCAGCTAGTGGATAATCAGTTGAAACAGTTAGCTAAAGGATACTAATGGACACAGTTGAAATATTCAACTATTTTTTAATTAGCTAAAAGTAGATAATGGATGAACAGTTGAAAAAGTTAGCTGAAAGTAGCTAGCGGATAATCAGTTGAAACAGTCTGCTAAAAGTGGCTAATGGATAAACAGTTGAAGTAGTTTGCTAATATGGATGAACAGTTGAAGTAGTTAGCTAAAAGTAGCTAAAGGATGAACAGTTGAAATAGTTAGCTAAAAGCAGCTAATAAACAGTTGAAACAGTTAGCTAAAGGATACTAATGGATGGACAGCTGAAAGAGTCAGCTAAAAGTTGCTAATGGATAAACAGCTGAAATATTCAGCTAAAAGCAGCAAGTGGATAATCAGTCGAAACAGTTAGCTAAAGGATACTACTGGACACAGCTGAAATAGTCAGCTATTTATTTAGTTAGCTAAAAGTAGATAATGGATACAGTTGAAAGTAGCTAATGGCTAAACAATTAAGTAGTTAACTAAAAGTAATGAACAAACTGCTAAAATAGTTAACCAAATTAAAAGATAAACAGTTAAATTGTTAGCTTAAAGTAAGTTTAACACATTAAACAATAAGCTACAAGTAATGGATGAACTGCTGAATAGTTAGCAAAAAGTAGCTGACGAAGAAACAGTTGAAAATGTTAGCTAAAAGTAGCTGATAGATGAACATTTTAAACAATAAACAGTAATAGTTTAACAGTAAGTAATGGATTTACAGCTGAAATAATTAACTAAAAGTAGCTAATGGATAAGGGGTTGAAATAGTTGGCTAAAAGTACTGGATAAACAGTTGAAACAGTTAGCCAGAAGTAGCTAATGGAAGAGTTGAAATAGTTGACTAAATTAATGGATAAACGGTTGAAATACTCAGCTAAAAGTAACGGATAAACTGCTGAAATAGTTAGCTAAAAGTAGTTGATAAACAGATGAAATAGGTAGCTAAAGTATTAACGGTTGACATGTTTAGCTGAAAGTAACTGATAAAAGTTTTTAACACACAGCTTCTGCCACTCTAGGTAGGCTACTAATTCAACTTGACAAAAAGGCCTAAATATTAACAATCAAATGGTATGTAGAAAAAACCCTGTAACATTATCCACATTTACAAGATCAATGTGCCAAAGTAGCCAAAAGTCATAAGTCTATAAGAATGGAACCCAGACGGTAGTGATTCTATAATAAATAGAAGCATTTATTTATGTACAGCAAATGTTTAAAGTTTACAACAAAGTCTAAAACAGTGACATTATTACCAAAAAACAGTAAAGAACCAATATTTACATTTATGAACATTATATTTACATGCTTAATCTGCACTGTTAGTTGGTGAATGTGAAATGACATTATGTACAGCTTGACTAGACACTTGTGTTTTCTTTCTAAAAGCCTCACAACAGTCATTAACCTAACTCAATACAACGTCTTTGTTAGGTGTTACCTCACCTGAAAGTAACACTGCAACATCCCTCAGACAATTAACTGTAAACAGGAAGACACACTGATTTTATACATATCCACTGAGTTCAATAACACCAACATGAACGTGAGCAAAACATGTAATTAAAAAGGCACACATTTGTCAGCGATACAAATAAAGGAGCTCAAAGCAACTTGTGTTTTTAAAACCATGATGGGGCACATGGTTCTTTTTCAGGAATGTGGGAGGCAAGTTTTGGTCCTGGGGGAGGATGTAAATATACAGGCCACGTGCCATGGTACAGAGAATTAGACATGGCCCCACTGGTCACATGTGGTTGCATCAAAGCCTCTCAGTCTTTGAGGAATGCACCAGTCCCCCCAAGAGGGGTGTAGGGGAGGAAAATTTAGGGGTGGCTCCCCAGTACTCAGACAGCCAATCACAAATCAAGAGAATGGAGCTGGATAAGGGTTCAGAGAAACTAAGGAACAAAAGACAGCTGCTGAAGAACCTTATGTTGTTACCATATGGTGATATGTGAAATCTGAAGGCTATTACAGAGCACAGTATAAATCAAGGCACAGTGAGTATTATTAGAGGTCAGCTACAGCAGTGTGTTTAGGACCTTTTGGGTCAGCCTGGTTTCACAAAAATAAGTGAAATGACAACAACCTCTTAAAGGTTTAGAGTGTAGGATTTAGGGGAATGTACTGGAAGAAATGGAATATAATAAGTGTATTTTCTTTAGTGCATACACACCTGAAAATAAGAGTCTTTGTGTTTTTGTTACCCTAGAGTGAGCTGTTTATATCTACATAGGGAGCGAGTCTTTGTGAGAGATTATATTAATAATAAGATATCGGATTTTGAGGAGGAGAACTCTACGGATAATTCGACTCCAGAAAAACCTCCTGAGCGATGTACACTGACGGTATTCTAATTGTAATCTGCAATCTTCAAAAACTGAAACGAAATTCCTGGTTAAACATCATCATGCAACCCTATATGTAGTGTAAAAAGCGAGAAAGTCAAACAAACATATGACTTTCAGCCAGGAGACTGCAGTTTGTGTCCTGTTTGAAACCCGAAGTTAACATTTACTTATCTTAACAATACGTACTTGTGTCACATGACATTACATGACATACTTACGCCTCATACTTAACAAATGTACAAATTTTAACCAAAAACACAATCTTTTTCTAAGTGTGACAAAGAGTTTTTCCCACTAAACCTAACCAAGTAGTTTTGTTCCTTCAACCTAATGAAACATTAATCACATGTATGTGTTTTTTTGTGCTTCACGACTGAGGCAATGACTGGTATTGAACTCATAACGACACACACATCATTAAGACTTATTGAGGTCACACTGGTTAAACTGGCACATGCAGAATTCCTGTCAGTATTACATTCAGCCACTGTACACTCAACTTTAAATCTGCTCTGGTGTTAGTGTTTGTCTTGGGATAAAAGTCAACAACAAAGAGAAATGTCGGTAGTAAGTACAGCGCTGGAGACATAAGGAGATTAGCTTACTTTAGCTTAGCTTAGCTTAGCATATATACTGGAAACAGGGCAAACAGCTAGCCTGGTTCTGTCCAAATGTAATTAAATCCACCAACAAGCATGTCTAAAGCTCACTTATTAGGTGAACATTATTTTTTGTTGTTGCTACATACAGAAAGTGAAGCTTAAAAGCAATGAGCATTAGCGCTAAGGTGAGCGCCTCCTGGCTCCAGCTTCATCACGATCAAAGAAATAGTATAACATAATGGGAAATATGCATCTTTGCTTTCCTGTCGAGAGTTAAATGAGATGATTAATACCACTGTCATATCTGATAAATATGTGGATGGAGCCAGCGGCTGGTTAGCTTAGCTTAGCTTAGCACAAAGAGTGGAAACAAGGGTTAGCTTGCCTAGGTCTGTCCAAATGTGATAAAATATGTCCACCGACATCTCTAAATCTCACAAATAATCAAACAAAACAAAAATAAAACACCTATCACAAAAATGTGAGAACTACCAAATTCTCACAATGCTAGTTGTTTCCCCTGTTTCCAGTCTTTGAGCTAAGCATAGCGTAGCGTAGCATAGCATAGCGTCTGGAGATGGTGGTGGCCTTTTATTTACCGTACAGATTTGAAAGTGGCCAAAAAACAAAGCAAATAAGGTTTGATAATGTTCCACGAACAGACAAAAATTATATTTACAACACGTGTGTGAATTAAAACACGTTACAGCAGAGATACTCAACTTGCTTTGCTCTGGTGCCACGTTTGCAAAATGGCAGGAGGATTGCATTTTTAATGAACAAACAATAATTAATATATAAATAATTTTTCATTCATTAAATCATTACCTGTAACTGTCTGTATCCTGTCAAGGGTCGCAGGGGGGGCTGTCCCAACCTGCATGTCCTTGGACTGTGGAAGGAAGACAGAAGGGCCCCAGCCAGTGGGTTCAAGTCTGGAAACCTCCTGCTGTGAGGCGACAGTGCTAACCACTGTACCACCTTGCCACCTTAAATAATAATCATTATTATAATAATTATTAAAATAAGGGATCCTCCAGTTGCAATTGTTTGAAATGCACAAGCTCTATTTTGATGTTTTTTTGTGCACTCTGGCACCTTATTTTACATTAAAAGTACAAAAAAATCCCAGTGTGAATCAATTTGTTTTCTTCTCCAATTAAAAAACAGTCAGCGGGCCACCCAGCACCCTGTTGAGGGTCGCAAGTTGAGTTTCTCTGCGTTAGAGGGAATTCCTATTTATAAGTTGTATTAAATGAGCTCAGTTAAACTGATGCATGAAAAACGAGACATTATGAAGCCTCAACAACTTCTACATTTACATGCACAAAATATTCCTTTTTTTCACCCATTCCGAAAAATACAATATTCCTACTAAGCTGTGGCTAATAAAAATGAATATTCAATTCATTTTCCCATTAACATGCAGCCGTGCATACTCTGATTAATGTTCCCTAACATGTCCTGTACCACTTCAAACGCTGTTTACATGACCAGAATCAAATCCGGAAACTGTAATATACAAAATAAAAGTAGAATATTAGTGTGCATGTAAACATAGCAGCTATATCATCAGCATCACAGTTAGGATAGCGAGTTAACAAAAAAAAAAAAAAAAAAAAAAAAAAGTTGGATTAAAGAATCCATCATCTGCTGATTTGGTAAGATCTGGTGAGAAATGGATTGTCAACTTGATGGAAAAAAAATGTGCAACCTGAAAATACGTCTGATCCTGGTTTTCCCACTGCAGAGCGCTTGTTCGTCTGTGAGGATATAGTGGTTCTGATATTGGCTTTGACTTCCATATCTTTGTGCTGTGTGAGGTAAATATACAAATGGATGTCCAAGGTAGCTTATCATCGAGGCTTTTCTTTCCACTCTGCGCAACGTGTCTCAGTTTTCTGTGAAGGCCGGGTTGTCTGCCTCTTCATCCAAGCTCACGATTTGTCTCTGATGGGACAGCAAATAAAAGGATGTCAGAGATAATATATACTGTGGCCTGTGTGTGCTGATCACAATAAAGTGTACTAAATTCAGGCCGAACTATAAGCTGTCAAACTAGACTCACTTTTGGGTAGGAGAAACCGTCAGGGCTGTGGCTCCTCCAAATGTGCACTTGGTCCTCTGTGGTTTTCTGATAAACAGGGTTGTCAAAGTGAATCGTGTTGGTGTTCTTCAGCCTGTAGTTCCTCCATAGCAGCACGCCACCAACAGCCACCAGACAGACAATCGCTACATGAGGCAGACATGGGGAGAGAGATGATGAGACATGATGCTTTTATTATTTCAGATAATTTCTATATTCTGTGAAGAAGCCGCCTTTGCAGCAGCTGCCACAGCGACTCACCCAGAGGTAGAGCAATATACAGGGCGATCGGGGTGGGCGAAGCAGCGTCGGGTATAGCAGCAAATTCATGTCGGATATCTGCAGAGAGGCAAACACATGAAGAGAAGTTAATGATACATGAAGCCGGCCTGCACTGTATATACATGTGTGTCAGAGCTGAGAGCAATGCACTCAAACAAAACAAACTTTGTCTGCCAGTTTGACCTTTAAGGGTTAGTTCCGATGTTTGACGTAGGTTTGTGCGGGTACAGTGTATTGAATACAGCAGATGGAAGTCTGCACGCCCCCAGTTTGGAGAAGCAGTAGGAGTGGCAACGCAAAAGCTTAGCAGTCCACTGCGAATCCAAACTAACCCTTCTAAACGCCAGAGTCACACAATAAAACAAACAAAATAAGTGATTGAGGCAGCAGCAGACCAGCAGCTCCTGTGTTCAGCGACATTAAATGGACTGCACTTGTATAGCACCTTTCTAGCCTTCTAACCCCTTAAAGCACTTTTACACTACATGTCACATTCACCCATTCACACACTGGTGGTCGAGGCTACCACACAAGGTGCCACCTGCTACTCAGTAAGCATCCACATGCACTTCCACACCGATGGCGCAGCCATTGGAAGCAATTTGGGGTTCAGTATCTTGCCCAAGGATACTTTGACAAATGGACTGGAGGAACCAGAGATCAAAACGCCAATCTTCTGATTAGTGATGACCCGCTCTACCTCTGAGACATAGCTGCCCCAAGTTCAAGGACAACTTCGGCAATTTTTGACTTGGACCCCATTTCCTGATGTTAAGCGATAGCTGCAGCCAGCTGCCGCACAGCTGTATGTCCATTTAAAGTGGTCATGTTTGCCACAGACAAGCTCAGATTATTATTTTAAGTGTCTGAAGTGTCTCTTTACCTTCTGCTTGATTTTTGAAATCAGCTAAATAATCATCCGTTACAAGAATTGAGCCGAGTACCCGGATAAAACAAGTAGCCAGTACAGATTATGTACTTTTTACGAGTCTCCATACTCGTGATAAACTCGTGTTCAATCTTTTAATCTTGTGATCAAAAAAAATCTGAAGCTCAATCCAGAGCTTGTTTTGTGAATAGCTTTCTAATAAATGATAAATAAAGCAATGTCTGATCAACCCTATCAATTCCATATCCATATCAAAGGCTCAAACAGCTTCTGGTTAGGTCCAACAAGTCACATCTCGTGAGACAGCAGTACATTGCTCAGCTTCTATGTTAGTACTCCAGCCTGCTTCTCCAAACTGGGGGCGTGTTGACCCCCATCTACTGAAGGTAACACACTGACTATGGATAAGCACCTCATTCAACCCCACTTCAAAAAATCTGAACTTTAATAATCGTAATAATGCCAAACACATTGATGGTACTTGCCTGATGAAGTGACTGGAGTCTCTGTGGTGGTCTGGAGAATTTTGGGGTTCACTGGACGGGGTGACGGGGTCTTTGGTTCAGGCGTGGTGGTCCTTACAGGAGGCTTGGTGGTGCGTGGCGCTGGCCTGGCCGCAGTGGTGGTGATTACAACGGGCACTGTGGTGGTGCGGACCTGGGGTGTAGGTGTGGTGTGGACCTGGGGTGTAGGTGTGGTGCTGGCTGGTACTGTTGGCCGAGGAGGGGGTGGGTTGGTAGCAGGGACTTGAGGCAGCACGGGAGCTGCAGGTGTTGGCACAGCTGGTGAAGAACAAAAACAGAGGGGGAAGGGTGAGAGCCAGAAATAGGACCGCTTGAACATTGCGAATAGTCATAGATCATTTTAAGATATTACACTACTACTGTATAATCTGTCTTTGATCCTTTACACACCAGGCACACATGTCCTCATATCCCTGGCTAACATCATGTTGTCTGGACAGACACAGGTGTATTTGGGGGGGTGTCTGCCCACTTGAGGAGCTGCCAGGCACAAGAATTCACAGCCGGATACCTGGCACCAGTCCCTTCCTGCAACGTAAAAAACAATGAAATTTGACTTTAGTTTAAGTGTTTAACATGTTTTCAAGCCATTATCAACATTATCATACAAATGCAACAGTTTGACTTAAGGACCTAAGCATGCAATACTATGGACATTTCTGGCTGCTGCTTTTAAATTATGCGATACTTTACCAAAGACATTACTGAGCATTGGAATAATAATACCAGTAAATGAATAGGATCAAAACTTAAAATTTATTGCAGGTGTTACGTAGCTGCTATGTAGCTGTGGTCAGGGAGGAACCTCTGTCAAACTGGCAGTGAATGAAAACATTTGGCCAGCGTTCAGTATTTAATAAAAAGGACAAACATAATCTGATGCAAACAAAGAACCTGGGTCAACAGGCGTCTGATTTCTGAATCAGTCTGGGGCAGCGGCGTCTCTTACCAGTGGGTTGTTTGAGGTTATGGTACAGAATAATGTCTTCTGGCGATGACAAGTGCTCTGCCAGTGGTGTGATGTCACCACCCGTCAGCCTGTTTGCACTGAGGATTGCACTGTTACTGACATCCGTCCAGAACACTTTTTCCTAGAAGCACAAAAAACAACCAGGCTTAGTATTTCAGAGACTGAGCACTGAGTCACAGCGGTGAGAAATACTACTGTTTACACGTGTGGTGAGGAGGCATGTTGTATCTGACAGTCGGCTCTGGGTTGATGTGTAACAGAGCTTATCAGGAGGGAAACGTGTACCTCAAACACAGTGAGGCCAAGCGGGTGAGCCAGCCTGTGCTCGTCAATGATGAGGGTGCGTCGACCACCGCCCTGCACGTCGATACTGGAAAGGGTGTGCAGCTTGGAGTCCACCCAATAGAGCCGCTGGTTCAGCAGGTCTGGGAAGGAAGCAGATGAGAGAGGGGGGTCAACAGGTCTGACCACTAGCATTCACTGGATAGATAAAAAATGACACCATGAAACCAGAGACATGAATGTTAGAGTTTACCGAGTGTGATTCCATTGGGCCACTCAATGTTGTCGGTGACCAGAGCGCTGCGGTCGACTCCGTTAAAACCTCCCTTCTCAATTTTAGCGGGAGTCCCCCAGTCAGTCCAGTACATGAAGCTGGGAGGACAGAGATGTGTCAATAAAACATTGAAATCAATAACTTCCTTTAGACAAGTCAAGTTGTTTAAATCACACTCTATAGGACTTTGCAAAGTCTGGGGATCTTGCAGAGCCACGATTTTCAAGACTACAACTAGATTCCTTTTGAGATTATTTCCCATCCTGCTTCTGGTGGAAAATATTACACCAAACTCCCTTTAAGAAATATGGAATTTTAAAAATTCCTTGCATATCTGCAAAAACATGTAACTCAAGACACACAAGATAAAAGGCATCAAATGTTGACAGTATTTTTGTCAATTCGGCATCAATATAATCCATGAAGATTAACTGTATTTCCATACAAGCTTTATATTTTAGATTTTATCCCTACTGCCCTGCGTAGGTTAGCTGTGCTGTTTAAGTAGGACAACAGAGTGGAAATGAGAGATGAACTGTTTAAAAAATTAAGATTTCTCACTAAAATAAGTGCTGGATAGAGCTTGAACGCTTCACAATGTAAATCAATGCATCCACCTGCTTAGAGGCAAAGATAACTAGCTGCTAACTGCTAATAGCTGACTTAACGAGCTCTCCTCCTGCCAATTTCATTTCTCTGCACATCCACTCCTCTCAGTAGTGTAGTGGTAGTTCAGTGGGCACCAGAGAGCTTTTGTCATTTTCACATGGTAAAGATACAGCGTAATTCAGGGTTCACGTGCCGTCGGGTAACTCGCCCTAGTCTCAAACTAACAAAAGCACAGTGATTCTTATTTTCAGGTGATTATACACAAAGAAAACATACTTATCTTAATATATCTGTTTATTTATCCTGAGTAAATTTCACAATATTTAACAACGTTGGCGCATATTTCCCTCCTATCGTGCAGCTTTAATGGAGAGTGTATGAAGATTTTCTGCATCACTGTACTTGTACTAGTATTGTTAGACTTACTTGCTGTGGGGGTCCACCACAATAGCGCGGGGTTTAGACAAGTCTTGGTGGAAGAGAGTTTTGCGCCGGCTACCGTCAGCAGTTACCACGGAGATGGTGCTGCGAATGCTGTCAGTCCAGTACAGGTTACCATGGATCCAGTCAAAAGCGATGCCTTCAGGAGCATCGATGCCACTGCCAATCACTACGCTGTGATGAGTGGGGTCATCGGCCGAGTCCATCTGAGCTCTGGGATGAAAGCGAAGAGTCAAGCAGGAGTAAAAGAAACAAAAACACTGCTTTGATTCTGATTTCATTCTCGCTCACCTGTAAATCTTCTTCTGGGAAATGTCGGACCAGTAGATCTCTTTGGCGGCCATGTTCATGTCAAGAGCCACAACGTTCTTCAGGCGGGGGATCACTCTGGTGTACTCACTTTTGTCCAACGTCATCTTTCTGACCTCATGACGGTTGGTGAAGAAAAGGTAGGCTATCGTACCTGAAAAACCAGAGTTTGTAGGTTATTTATTTTTTATAAGTAAATTTTTTATGAATGTTTGTTTATTGTCAAACTAAAATTTGAATTATTTATTTTTCTAAGCAGTTATACAGTACAGGCCAAAAGTTTGGACACACCTTCTCATTCAATGCGTTTTCTTTATTTTCATGACTATTTACATTGTAGATTCTCACTGAAGGCATCAAAACTATGAATGAACACATGTGGAGTTATGTACTTAACAAAAAAAGGTGAAATAACTGAAAACATGTTTTATATTCTAGTTTCTTCAAAATAGCCACCCTTTGCTCTGATTACTGCTTTGCACACTCTTGGCATTCTCTCCATGAGCTTCAAGAGGTAGTCACCTGAAATGGTTTCCACTTCACAGGTGTGCCTTATCAGGGTTAATTAGTGGAATTTCTTGCTTTATCAATGGGGTTGGGACCATCAGTTGTGTTGTGCAGAAGTCAGGTTAATACACAGCCGACAGCCCTATTGGACAACTGTTAAAATTCATATTATGGCAAGAACCAATCAGCTAACTAAAGAAAAACGAGTGGCCATCATTACTTTAAGAAATGAAGGTCAGTCAGTCCGGAAAATTGCAAAAACTTTAAATGTGTCCCCAAGTGGAGTCGCAAAAACCATCAAGCGCTACAACGAAACTGGCACACATGAGGACCGACCCAGGAAAGGAAGACCAAGAGTCACCTCTGCTTCTGAGGATAAGTTCATCCGAGTCACCAGCCTCAGAAATCGCAAGTTAACAGCAGCTCAGATCAGAGACCAGATGAATGCCACACAGAGTTCTAGCAGCAGACCCATCTCTAGAACAACTGTTAAGAGGAGACTGCGCCAATCAGGCCTTCATGGTCAAATAGCTGCTAGGAAACCACTGCTAAGGAGAGGCAACAAGCAGAAGAGATTTGTTTGGGCCAAGAAACACAAGGAATGGACATTAGACCAGTGGAAATCTGTGCTTTGGTCTGATGAGTCCAAATTTGAGATCTTTGGTTCCAACCGCCGTGTCTTTGTGAGACGCAGAAAAGGTGAACGGATGGATTCCACATGCCTGGTTCCCACTGTGAAGCATGGAGGAGGAGGTGTGATGGTGTGGGGGTGTTTTGCTGGTGACACTGTTGGGGATTTATTCAAAATTGAAGGCACACTGAACCAGCATGGCTACCACAGCATCCTGCAGCGACATGCCATCCCATCCGGTTTGCGTTTAGTTGGACGATCATTTATTTTTCAACAGGACAATGACCCCAAACACACCTCCAGGCTGTGTAAGGGCTATTTGACCAAGAAGGAGAGTGATGGAGTGCTGCGGCAGATGACCTGGCCTCCACAGTCACCGGACCTGAACCCAATCGAGATGGTTTGGGGTGAGCTGGACCGCAGAGTGAAGGCAAAGGGGCCAACAAGTGCTAAACACCTCTGGGAACTCCTTCAAGACTGTTGGAAAACCATTTCAGGTGACTACCTCTTGAAGCTCATGGAGAGAATGCCAAGAGTGTGCAAAGCAGTAATCAGAGCAAAGGGTGGCTATTTTGAAGAAACTAGAATATAAAACATGTTTTCAGTTATTTCACCTTTTTTTGTTAAGTACATAACTCCACATGTGTTCATTCATAGTTTTGATGCCTTCAGTGAGAATCTACAATGTAAATAGTCATGAAAATAAAGAAAACACATTGAATGAGAAGGTGTGTCCAAACTTTTGGCCTGTACTGTATATCCTCATATAATTTTCACTTGTGTACTTGTTCGGACAAAAATTGTGATAACCAAGAGAAGTAATTTAAGTTTAATTTATCTTCCTGCTGTGAAAGCGAAAAATGTGAACTAAACTACATGTTGGTTTCTCCCACAAGTCCAATGTTGTAATTGGACAGATGTCTTAATTTCTCTAACCCTATCAAAGGAAACTGTCTTCTATCAACATTTGCAGGCTTTACAGGTCTGTGGCATGTAGTCCAGTCCAGTCGCCAGAAGAGAATGTTGGCATTGTACACTTCTGCAAACCATGAGTTTGTTAGAGTGGTACGTTTCATACGTATCATATCAACATTTCTAAACTGACGTAGTATATGAGCTGACTTTGTCACTGTGAGGTGGAGGGGATGGTGGATGGCATGTCACCTAGGCAAAATGCCAGTCAAGCTGCAGACCACTGTTTGAGGCCAACAAACAACAAAACAGGTTGTTTTTTCTCTGAGACATCGCTGCATTTCTAAAAAGGAATGTGCCAACCAAACTTGGTATTTGTAAGGCCAAAAAACAAGATGACATTGCCTGACCATAACCAATATTTCTTCTAACGAATTAGCACCCAATTAATTAGTGCCCCTACCTGTAAGGTTAGGTTTGGGGAAAAAATTACGGTTGGATGTTGTCACGTTACATACCTAACGTAACATGATGATGTACACAGTTCACACACACAGTTCTGAACACTGGTCTCCTGGGGGAAAGTCCTGTGTTTGTTTGACCATCTACCAGCACAACTTACCTCCCAACACGGATGTTCGCTTTTACCTTACTACTTCCTTCTTTATTCCCATTAGCATACTGGTCACATGAGTGCAGCCTGCGGGATTACGTGGGTTATATACGAATTCTGGTACCAGTGCATGAGAACATCCTGCCATAACCATGTGGTTTGTGTGCCTAAAACTAACCCCGGCGTAAACAAACATTAAGTCTCAACATATCCGCTACATAATAACATACAAATACAAAACATATTTATGGTTTGCACAAACATACAATGCCAACAATTATTCTGGCAATTGGGATATCCAACTAGCAGTGCACCATGGAAGCTGACGGCTTGGCTTCTAACAATGCCAACTCTCAAATGTCTGTTAACTGTTATGAAACACCCAATCTGTGGCCTGAAACCATGTGTACTGTTTCCACAAGTATGTCCATAAACAGATCTATCTTCTTTTGAAAAATGATTCAAAACAGTTGCAACAAAATGTGAAGAATTTAAATTTCAGTAACAGCCTCAACCAGACTGATCCACACTAGTAGGGTTTAATGAGGGAGTTACATTCATTATCTATATAAACATAAAATGATTCATGTTCATGTATCTGTATCTGTGTCTGTTGCATAATAAATCAGGAGACACTGTGGAAAGAACACAGAGAGCTGGTGTTTACCGATGGCCTTGCAGGCTTTGGTTGCCGGGTCGACTTGGTAACCCTCCTCACACTGGCATTTGTAACTGCCCATCTGGTTGATGCAGATCTGGCTGCAGGTGTCGGGGTTGGCACACTCGTCGATATCTGATACAAAGAAGAGGGCAAAAAAAGAAATTAAACATGACTGTGATGAAACAGGATGCTGAGTCATAGTGTTCATAGGAATTACGGGAACCTTTTGAATCTGGCAACATAAGCGGTGACATGGCAGAGGTTGCATCAGAGTAAACAGATTGCACCATCATTTGTTAATCTGACTGAAGCGTGAGAAGCTGTTACCTTCACAGCGCTTCGTGTCAACCAAGCGATACCCAGTAGGACACAGGCACTCGTAGCCGATCCTCAGGTCTTTGCAGATATGAGAGCAGCCGCCGTTGTTGTACAGACACTCGTTGGAGCCTGCAGGGGGAAGAAGGAGAGGTTCACCATCTTTCTTTTTCTGAGGACGTGCAGCATTCTCTGGCTGCAGACACCCTCATTAGATACACAACAGTGGTAATTAAAGCAGACAGTTATGGATGAGAGGCTTCTGTACTCACCACACTGCCTCAGAGGCTCATCCGACCAATCCCTGCAATCACGCTTCCTGTCACACACCTTCTCCATGCTGATGCACTCCCCACTTCGGCATTTGAATCTAGTTGGGGGCTCGCAGTGGGTCGCTGTGGAAAAGAGATTCAGTTAAGCCTGGATTTGGGCGTTCCGGCCCTGACTTTGTTTTGTTTCGTCCTTCGCTGTGCGTCGTACCACACTGGAAGCATTTCAGAAGCAAAGCACCCGATCTTGTAGGCTTGCTGATTTGTTGTTTGGTCGTTTTGCCTTGATAATTGTGCTTCTACCATGAGTCTACAGGCTATGTACTTCGTTTTTTGTCTGTTTTAAATGCTTTTATCATTGTTATTTCCTACTTTGTTGTCCTGTGGCCTACAGACAGATGTAATGCCTTTTAAAGTCCACTTATTTCCCTTTAATCTTGCTGCTGTGATTTGTAGCAGTATAACAGTTTCCCATGAAGACTGGTTTTTGTTTGGTAATTTTGCACGTGGGGGTGTTTATCAAACTTCAGGTTGTTTATCAGGGACTTCCTCTCAACTGAAGCTGCCAAGATATGCTTCTTCTCAATGGTCGTCTCCCAAATCACATACTGTCTGATAAGTTGGTCACTCCACAGCAATGAAACCACTGAATCATCACATAAACAAGCACTAAAAACATTAGACAAGAGTCCAGTTATGAGTGATATGGATCAAAGATTTAAAATAAATTCATCTTAATAACATATTCATATCTATATTTGCATTTATATGTATATTTACAGGGTTTTATTTTGAAATTTGACCGGACTCTACCGTTCAACTTCCTACCTGGCTTGATTTGCTCTGTGTAACTGCATCACAACTCAGTCAAAACTACACTACACGTGCATTTTTGCGGCTTCGATGCCACACCGAAGTCGCACCTGAATCCAGGGGTTATAGACACAGGTATTTATCTGTAAGCAACCACGACAAGAAGGGTAGTGCAGGAGAAACATACCGTTGACGCAGCCAATTTCATCACTCATGTCCCTGCAGTTGTACTGATGGTTGCACTGGAGGCTGCCGTGGATGCAGGTGCCATCACCGCACTCAAACTCATCAGGACGGCAGGTGGTGCGAGCTGGAAGGATGCAACAGGTAAATTTGAGTACAAGAGATGACGACATGTGATCAAGAGAAAAAGAAGAACTCTGTAATCAGTACTCACCACAGTTGGCTTCGTCCGACCGATCATGGCAGTCAGCTCCTCCGTCACACTTCCAGCTGCCGTGGATGCACTCTCCACTGCCGCAGTGGAACTCCAGTGACGAGCACTGATGAGTGGGAGCAGTGTTGGGCGCCTTCGTACCACAGTTCTGGGGCCACTCGTCCGAGCCGTCTGCGCAGTCAGTGTCGCCGTCGCAGGCCCACAGGCGGGGGACACAAACGGTGTTGTTGCACTGGAAGGACGTGGGGCTGCAGGTGACACGTGGGCAGGAGGCCTCGTCGCTGCCGTCATCACAGTCCGCCTCGTCGTCACACACGAAGGAAGACGACACGCACTGGCCGTTTCTGCAGTGGAACTCGGTGTTTGTGCACTGCCTTGGTGCTAAAAGAGAGGAGGCGGAGAGTGATGAAAACCAGGGACACTTCAGAGCAGGGAAGAAGAACAAGAGAAGGAAGCTGAAAGCAATGTAAGAAGATAAATCACTTATGATTTAGGAAACAGTCAGACAGATGTGTGGGCCTGTCGCAGCCTGTCAGCTCACCACAGCTGTCTTCATCAGCTCCGTTCTCACAGTCAGCTTTTCCATCACAGCGCCAGGTGCTTGGTATACACTGGTTAAGGCGGTCCGCGCAGCTGAACTCTGTCGGTCTGCACGTTTTGGACACTGGAAGTGAAGAACACAGACAACTGTAACTGAGACTACACAATCATCACACTGAGGGATTGTGGGATTGACAAAGCAAAGCAAGAACAAGTCTATTCTCATGTTGACTGCCACGTGATACTCACTGCAGGTACCAGGAAGTTCATCAGTGCCGTCTCCGCAGTCGTCCGTGCCGTCACACACCCATCGTGCCGTGATACATTTCCCATTCCCACACTGGAACTGCCTGGCTCCACATGTTGTCAATGCATCTACGACAGACAGATATAAACACACAGTTCAGCTAAAAGGGCCGATGTTTTAGTTATCATCTATCAGCGGCCGATACAGGAAGACTCTGTAAACACAGACGTGGCTGCAGATGAAAAGAGGCCACATGGAATAATATCTCTGCAGAGCTCTATTAAACAATGTTACAGGCACGCTAGAGGAGGACAAGAACTGTACTGACTATCACAACAGTTAACACAAATTCAACCATCCATCCGTTTTCGTCCACTTATCCAGGGCCGGGGTTACAGAAGCAGCAGGCCAAGCAAAGCACTCCAGATGTTCCTCTCCCCAGCAATGCTGTCCAGCTCCTCCTGGAGGACCCAAAGGTGTTCCAAGGCCAGATGAGATATATAATCCCTCCAGCGTGTCCTGCGTCTGCTCCAGGGCCTCCTACCTACCTCCTACAACTAATCCTGTTGAATCCTGCACTTTTTACTTAAATCGCTGCAAAATTTCTGCAACTTTGACCAGTCACTGTAGTTTCCTGTGAGTTCCACCAATCACAGCAGTCACCCGCAACCTCACCAAACTTACTTCCTTGTCTCTGGTTGTGGAGTTACAGACATGCGCAACATGAAAGTCTCAAATTTACCGACAAAAATTACTGCTAAAGACCGCGCAAGGTAAGTCCCTGATGTTCTGCGTGAAAGCGAAGGCAAACTGTTTTGCACCATGTGCACAAACGGCATCGACTGACCAACACTTGTCTACCACAAACACACCCAGAGAATGTCTGAAACACTTCGACAACAGATACGACAAATCACCACGACAGAGGCTGTTGAATCCAGATCTGTTGCACATGCTGAAAGAATCGAGGTGAGTTAGATTAAATATACGGGGTCAAAAACTCAGAACAAGCTGCCTTCAATTTTTAATTAGTTATATAAAAACAAAATGGCAGCTACGTTTGCAATTTTCACTTGGATCCACAATTTCATTGCAAAAAAACGCCCCAAAACATCGAAACATGAATCGTAATTCTTTAGAAATGCTGCTGTGAAATTATGCATTTTAGGCGTGGAAGGACAGTGAGGTGGGCTCTCTTACGCCTTGAGGCTTTCCTCATATGCACGTGGAAGAGCAGAGGGGCCCCAGAACAGAGCCATGCCGCCAAATACAGTATAATACTGTGAATGGAAATAAAGTTTTCTTTGACTGAAGTGTTTGTGACTGAAATAATAATTCTGTAATACTGTGAAACTGCGGCATTTTCCACCGTTGCAACCCTAGTCCCTACAAACCTTCATGGTAATCCATCCAGTAACTGTTCAGGCATTTCAGTCAGGACAAAGCAGTGGACCAACTAACGGACAGACTGACAATGGTGGGCGCAAAAACATTTTATTTATTTTTATTTTTTTAAGAGCAGATAGAGCAATGCCTCGTGTGACAAGACAAATGTAATCTAAAAAACTTTCATTTGCTGGAGAAGTTGTTACTCGGGTGCATTTCTGGGTTCATTATATGGGCGGGGCCGCGTCTTCACTGATGTCAAAGATGGTAATAAATATGCCGCCAGAGGAGATAGAGGCTTGGAGTTACAGTTTACACTCAGGCATTATACACACACATATGTGCCTGTTGGGACTTGTTTAACTAGGGCGGATAAATGGTTAAACATGAGTCAAACTGGGACACTTACTGTATGTGCGCCTGCCTTTATCAGCCTTTATCAGGGAGCTGCTGCTGATACGGCACATTCATAACACACAATAGAAATCTCATTTCTGCCGGCAGGATCATTTGGAATGAGTTTAAAGACACGGCGGCGGCGCCCTCCCCGCCCCCCACCTTTAATGGACCCAATGAAGCCACTGAACCAGACGGAGCAATTAGACCGTACATCAGAGAGGCAGCACTACATGAAACAGCACTGGAGGCCATTCCTCCCTCTGGCCCGGGGGCTCAAAACCCTGGATGGCCACCTGTTTCTTAAATGGGGCAGAGGGAGGTGTTTAGTGTCAATCAAAGCCTGATACAGTAAGAGCTTTCTACAAGAAAATACAGTCTCATGAAGTATTTACATTTTCATAAGTTTGTGTTCTTTAAGAATGGATGAGGGAAAGACAAACCGTAAATTATGCATTGCTGTGAATGTCTGACAGCTCAGTAAATCATAACAGCTTCCTGGTGAGGTCAAACACCTGGTGCCATCGGTCACAGCTGATGCTTTACTTAAACAAAGAGAGACTTTATGTCTTCTGCAGATTTTGCCACTGTAGTAGTGCTCTGTATCGGTGGTTCCCAACTGGTGGATTGTGGTTCAAAAGTAGGTCACTGGTCCACTCTGAATGGACCGCAAGTGACTCACAATCGTATCAAGCTAGTAAAGCAGACTATTTTTAAGTACTGGGAATTTCTAGCTCAGAGCTTTTATTTTGAAATGCTGTTTCACGATGTAAAGTTAGCGACTACCTGACAGTTACATGACAGTGACAGCAAACTAGCTTGACGGCATGGCCAAACGCAAGTATGATGGTGATGGTGAAACTGTGTGGACCTTGAGCTCATGAAGAGAGAGAAATCTGGACCCCGTGTCTGGACCAGTTGATGTAGCAGATACGTTGAAACTTTACGTATCAACAACGCAGTGGTTAACGTGTGGTTAAGTTCATGCAAAAAGCACTTGGTTATGGTGAGGAACAGATCAGTCAATAATGTGAAATCAGACTTTCAGCCTGTCTATCTTTTATATTTTGCCCCTTGTTGCTTCTTTTATGATATTGGCATGACATTAGCAGGTACTGCTAATTGCTACGAATTGTCTGTGAGTTGCATCTGTTTACGTAAATGCCATCAACAACTGATGACATATCAGGGTCTTGAAGGGTTGTCGGAAAGACTTCAACCACTACTTGGGATGCACGGTAATATCTGTAAGTCATTGATATCGGCCAATATTGGCTTTAAAGGGAACTATCAGAATCCGCCAACATGCTTTTTCTTACTTTGCTCGATGAATCAATCTTGGATACATTGAGAAGTATTGTATTTCATGTCATGCACAATATGATGCTAATTATACTACAGAAGAGACTTGATGATCACTAACATTAGGTGAGGAAAAAAAGTGGATATATTGGTATTGGTCATCGGCCAAATAAGTTATGAGTCGGCATATCGGCAAAAAAAATCCAATATTGTGCATCCCTAGTAAAAACCTCCTGAATGTCTGGATCTGGAAGCTATCAGAGAAAAAAGGTGAGCACACAGCTGAGCTTGGCTAACTCATCTGAGACAAGCCGCACAGCATCCGAGAAATACTTATTTGTTACTGCTTTATTCAGTGTTTTTACCGATTTGAATCATCAATGTTTTCGTTTTAGAGAGGAAGAGACATCTGTGGATAATTCGGCTCCTGGTAGAAACCTCCTGAACATCTGGATCTTAAGTTATCACAGAAAAAAGTGAGCACACATTAGCAGGTACTGCTAATCACTAGGAATCGCAATCGTCCATGTTTTACTATCTCCATCAAACAAATGGCAAATGTCACTGTGAATTGCATCTGTTTACGCAAATGCCATCAACAACTAATGACATATCAGGGTCTCGAAGGGTTGTCCCATTTCATAGCTGAAGATTTCAACCGCTACCTCTTGTATCTCTGTCCTGAGGGGCAAGGTGGTGCTCGAAAACTAAGGGTAGGTGTAAAAATACTGGGATCAGGCCCACGTGTTTGCATTCATTCAGGTGTAGCGGCTGTTAAGCAAATCTACTACCGACTGTTAACCCAATCATATCTTTATGACTTCATGTGAAAGGGTGTGCATCGCTGACCTTGCCATAAAGATAATAATCAGTTTCATGTTGACAGACTTGGTCTTATCAGAGGGATATCCTTGTGGAAAACACAGACCAAAAAAACACTCAAATGTTCCGACTTTAAAGATTTCAAACTTTCCTTTTTCCCTGAATGGTGGAAGTTTTCACTTAACTTCATATTCCCTGAACACAACGACACGTCACCCCAAAGTTCACGCTGGTTATTTACTCAATGGGCTCAGTTGAGTTCAGTCCTTGAACTGGACTAAATGGCAGCGTTATTGATTGAGCACAGATCCATGCCGGGGAAACAACAACCGTGCTCATGTTTGTTGCCCAATTCTGACGCCTGGGTGTGTTTAATTGATCGGCCCTTAAGCGAGGACTAAATATCTAAGAACAATATCTCCTATCAGGTGGTCAGAAAGTCGAACCCAAAGAGAGATTAAAAACTTTAAGGGCTCACTTTGAGATCACGAGTCTCTCCTCAGATTAACTCTCTGGTCCAACACGTGTGGGAGGCAACCATTTCACAACATGGGGGGACGGGACACGTTTCAATACTACACATGTCTCTGGGACTGGTGTGGAAATGCAGATGGATGACAACCAGTTCCAACATGTTTCACCACACAGACACACCATTTCCCAGAACTCTGGGAACAGGTCTGACGGTGACTTCACCCCAACCAAAACTCAAGAAAGGAATGCTGGCTGGAGACAATGTGTGTGTTTGTATTGGCGGGTGAGTCAGAGGGGTTCATCGCCACAATGTGGGGCGTTTCAGGTAAAACATGATGGGGGATAAAGGGACTCTTGCAAACAGGCTGGATGTTGCATCATGTAGGGTGAATACATTAATGCTGGTGAAACCCCCCAATGCAGCCCCCTGTATAGATTTTTTCCCCCCACAGTTATTTAAATGCAAGTGGCGCCAACTCTCACATTATGAATGGCAAAAACCGGCTTTTCAGAAACCCTGCTTGACATCTTTGCACAGACTGTATTCACACTGCTCAAAGCTCATTGGCTGCAGGAGCTGAGCGCCACTGAATGAAAAGCACAAAACATGCAGCTAATTCAAAAGCGGCACGGATAAAAAAAAATATATACAAAATGTGCAACTTTAAGCTATTAAAAAATGCATATTGAGTGATGGATGCAGGGTGAAATTATGGGATGTTATGAGGCTGCATCAGGGTGAAACTCTCATTGTGGCAGCGGAGAGATTTGACCTACATTCTGCGAATAATTGCGCCCTCCCCCCATCACCTTGCATCCGGCGCTGTCAGAGGAGTGGGCAATTTAAACCCACACACACTGAACGCTGACTGAAAATCATATTTATAACGTTATGTTAACATATATTTGAATCAAACAACATCAAAGTGAAGCTCGGGAGTGTTTTTACCTTTCTTTAACACAGCTGCCAGCTCACAGATGGAGCTAATTAACGATTTAATTAGGACAAATGGAGTGAACTTACTTGTCTGCAGGATGGAGCAGAGGAGAAACAACAATGACGCAAAGCGCGACCGTCCCATGATTTTCAGCCGCACTGGGAGATGCATGCACACTGGAGCCTGCTGTGATGATGATGATGGTAATGATGGTGATGATGATGATGGGAGCTGGTGTTATGAGGCTGTCAGTAACGTGGCTGCTGTTTGACACCAGTACAATGAAGGCTGTCCTGTTGGAGATGCTCCTGAGGAGGGATGCCCCGCACACTGTACTGTTTGACAACAACATCAGACCCATTTCAATGTGGTCCAGCGGTGGGTGGTGCCCAGAGGGGCCCGAGAGGGGGAAGGCGGGATCTGGAGTGGTGTGATTTCTGAGGCAAACAGCCTCAACAATTGGGGGCGGAGCTCAGTGTGGAGATGGATCCACGATGAGGTTAACCCTTTCAGAGAGGCACTGGAGACGCGCACAGACGCTCAGACTGTGTTTGGGTCCACGTGTTCAGTTTACTTCTCCAGAGGTCAACACTAACCTCACCAAGACATGGTTAACAGGGGCGTAGACAGAGGTCTGGGAGACCAGGATGAGAGTTAGTCAGGGGCACCACAAGGAGAATTAAGGTCAAGGTTGGGGGGGAGGGGTGATTGAGAATCAAAACAAAAATATTCTGAGAAACGAAAGTGAAGGTCATCTAATTTGGCACACATTTATCAGTAATAGCTTTTTTATTATATGTTTTCTTTTGCAAGTAAAACATTAAATGTACAGTGATATTTATTGACTATTTTTTATCTCAAAGTGCATTAAAAAAATCCTGAAATTGGACCATCTTTTGCCCAAAAACATTACATTTGAATATTACTTTAATTCTGTAAGTATTAGTAAATGTTTTTATTTATATTATTGTCACTAAATTATACCAGAGGACCAAAACTATTACTGTGAGTAGTAATAGTGACAGACCTGATCACAAGTATGAGTAATAACTGTGTATTCCAGCGCTATATATGGAAATATTTTTTGTCAATTTTTTCTAAAATTAGAAATCATACAGTTTTTATCCCACATATCTCCACAGTCCAAACAGGTCTTTAGCAAGCAAAAATAATAACTGCACAGTACTGTACTATATATGGACTATATATAGTGCATATATTTTTCTAAATTTTTTTCTCTTTTTCTTTTAAAGGAGCTATATGTAAGAAATCTAAAGCAAATAGTCGTAAAATCCTCCTAATATGTCACAGAGACTAAGGAATAATGTTCATATAACATACTGATCTCACCGACAACAATAGTACAGCCAGAATATTCGCATTTTAAAAACATTTTTACGGTCCGCAAATCATGTTTATGTTTTGAATTTGTGTTTTGGCCTGTTGCGCCACCCACCACCGTCTACCAGTCACGCAGTCAGTAGAGTCTCAGCATCAGTTACAGTTACGACTGAGCTACAGCAGCACAGCAAGCAGCATTAGCAGTGTCCCGGTACATAGCATTAGCAGCCGGCTCCTCCTCAGCTGTATCCTGGCAGCAGCGTTAGCAGCAGAGAAGCCGGACTTGCTTGAACGGTCCGCTGGAAAACCGAAGATCAAGGACTCAGCGACGCGGCCCTGCCACGGCAGCCGCCCGTGGGCAAACAAATCAGTCTCCAGCGTGCCGCTGTCCAGCAACCTCGAATCTGTAGGGGAGGGGGGGCGGACACGACTCGCGGCAGTATTTTGAATTTGAGTGCAGTAACCGTTTTGGCCACATTCTTATCTACAGCGCCTTTAAAATTGTAATTTTTTCCTTTCCAAAATATTATGACTTTTTCCTGAAACCTTCTTTCACAGACTTTTTTTTCCTTCAAAATATTATAATTTTATGACATTGTGCTATTGCCTTTTACTTTTCTTCTATTATTGGCACTAAGACTCAGCAAGGCCTGTCTGTTTTACATTTTACAAATCCACGGCAAATGAAAAAATTAAAGTATCTATTTTTGAACATTTACATCCTCAGTGAGTGTACAGCCACAGTTAGACTGAAGAAGTTGGTTTGTATTTAGAGATGGTCCATTGGTGTTTTGGTCTTTTCATGGGATGTGTGACAGAATATTGATAACTGTATTGATAGCTACTAGTCATCAGTGGATCCTATTTGGCTGTGGGTACCTGATCGTCATCTCCTCTCACCTCTCTATTGTCGAGTCTCGAGCCCAAACCTCAGTCTAACCCCTGACGAGGACAGCTCCCTTTAAGTCATGGTAAATGTAACTGTTATCAAACCAAACTGGGGGCATCAAATGTCCCCCCAACAAGTAAATAAGATGTTCCAAATCAACTGGTTTGAAGTCCAAATGTTGTCCCCAGATGTGGCGTGTGACAGTCTATAAGACTGGCAGCTGGCCGAATCCAGCGGACGTTCAATATTTAAATAATACCAAACAACCTGGACAACACGATGCAGCAGTTCAGTTCATACCGGTTCATTCCATACATCAATGTGTCTGTGGTCACCTTCCAAAAACATAAATGTAATGTTAATCTCCTCTGTGTCATCTATTTAATCAACTAAAAAACAGAAGGTAAAAGACACAACAGACTCACTGACCGATGAGTGAAACTTTCTAACACTAACAACATATCATAAAATCATTAGCGCAGCTTTTATCTTCACGTCACCACTTCCTGAGCTGAGGCCGCTCACCTCTCATAAAAACCCCAACATGTTATTTCAGGTTCAAAGTCTCAAACATCGCCGGGTCCATAAGTTTACAATGAGATTTACATCAGAGCAGGAGATAAAGCACATGTATAGAGATAAACTTCAAAACAACAGCCTTGAACCAGCAGCGAGAGCGTCATATAGCTCAGGAATACACCTCTCAGACAGGAACTGAAAACAGATAAATAATCCAGATGTTTTCTCTGAACGTGCTTCATGGAAGAGGCACCTGAACATCAACATTGGTTTAAAACAACAGAAGGTAAAGCACGGGGGAAATATCAAGCTGGTCCCGGTGAAGAGTAAATACATTGACCCTGTTACTATCACAGGAAGGGTTATTCATTCAGATAACGTGGAGCCGCCTATGGAGAGTCTGTGTTGACCGAATCCATTTGATCATGTGTGACCTTCAGTGTCACTCCAGTGTGTACAGAAACACTTGAAATTTCAAGGAAACTTAAATGTCTAGTCTCAGTCGAAGCGAGCACGTGAGGAATCCTCCCAGAGCTGAAGATCTGCCTCACAGAAGCTACACATGGATTCAAGGATCAAGGCCGTCACGGTGCTGCCAGATGTAAAATATGTACAGTGGTTGTGGAGTAAAGAGGGAGCAGCCAGATGGAAATAATAGAGGCAACGTTTATGTGATACAGATGTACAGATTAACCACCCAGATCTTTTACACACTGAAGTGTTATCGGCAAACTGAAAGCAGCTACAAGGAGTTTTTAACTGGTCATTAAACAGTCTCAGTCTAATACTGACACCTCCAGAGCATTAGTCTATAGAAGCTAAATCTGTCACCAACCAACACATTCTCACTCAGACCTCATCACATATTGACGTTTGGTAATGACGTCCACATACGATGTCCAAGGGTGCCTTGGTTCTTTCAAAATACACTTCTGTTTTCAAAGGAAATTTAACGTTTACATACAGTCTCTTTCAAAATAAAAGCACTAATAACAAAAACACGTGGTCGGGTTTAGGAAAAAAGAACAGGGTTTGGCTTTAGAATCTTCCGGAACGCGAACACCACTCTCTCAGGTGAAAGTCGATGTTTGTTGGACCCATCCTCCACCACTCCCACCTGCCCCAGACAGACTTTTGCTGCCTTAAATTTCGACTTTTTCCCGCCGCATTTCCTCATGATGCCACCGGGCACTGTTAAACTATAATGGCATCCGGCCATGTAGCATGCTGATGTTAAAGGATGCATTTTTTCAATGGTTGCTGGCGCCACAGGTCACTGCCCAAGCACTGGATTTCGACGACTTCAGAGTGAGACCGGGCTCCACTTGCCACTTTACTAGATACACCTGTTCAACTGCTCGTTAACGCAAATAGCTAATTAGCCAATCGTGGAAGCAACTCAGTGCATTTAGGCATGTAGACATGGTCAAGACGACCTGCTGAGGTCAAGAACAGGAAACTCAGGCTACAATTTGCACGGGCTCACCAAAATTGGACAGTGTTGGTAGTCTTTGCTTCCAGTTGTCTGCCCTAAATCTGGCCAGGACACCAATGTATGGCATCATATGCAAAAACATTGGTTAGGTACCGTAATGATGGAGTAACCCCAGATTCACAGAGTAAAGGCGTAGCCGTAGCTGTCACTATTTTAGTGAGAATTACGTTCATGAACGTTAACTGTAACATTTTAGCTATCTAAAAAAGTGTTGTTCAGTGTTTGGTTGTGCGACAACACCCTCTAATGTTGTGTTATTTCCGTGCGCTAATAAAATAATTTGCGCGAGTCAATTACATGTAAAGTCAAACGCAATGGATGCAACACGAATGACGCAAATCAAGCGGCACAAATAAAACGAGTAGCGAGATTTTGTGTGATACGCTTATTCGCGAGCATTGAAAAAACTGAACTTCAGCGACTGATTAGCACCGCAACAGTCAATCATTGAGATCTTCCAGGGGTGTATGAAACCGAGGATGTACCAGCGGAAGTTCACTGATTCAGTGATTTAACACACATATGACGTGGGAATTTGAGCATATGAAGCGAGTCAACACAAAATATTTTAGCATTCAAACTCCCTCGAGTAACGCAAAGTGAAAATTCGCGTTTGGTGTGAACACAACAGAGTCAGATATTCAATTTTACCAGTAAGTGCATTTTGTCTCAAAGGTCTCAAACCTGTTATTCGCTAGCAAAAATTAGCATTAACATTATCACAGTTAGCCATAGCTATTAATGCAAAATCCAAGATGGCGACGGCCATAATGCCAAATTTGAGGCTTCAAAACAGGAGTCCACAAACCAATGGGTCACAGTGGCTACGTCCATTATTTTCATACAGTTTATGTCAGAGGAGTATTTTCATTTCTACTTTATTAAGTAAATATTTCCCTCTGAAATGCAGTAAAGTGTAAATCATGGGGAAATGGTAATACTCAGGTGAAGAACCTTTAAATTTCATATTAGAGTAAATGTTATTTTCCAGCAGTGTTGCTTAGACTGACCTCACACAGAGGACTCATCAACACAGTCTCACTGCTGCTGCTTCAGTCAGCACCAGAGCCACAAACTGT